GAGAGTCTACAAAATTCTGGGGATCCCCTCAAGACACAAAACGGTTCCAGAAAACAAAAATGGAGCTCGAAGTTCGACCCATTTTCTTCCAATAGCACGGATGAAGAGAAGCCCCTACTCCGTTGCCTTCAGACTCCCAAATGCGATTTTGTTGCCCCCATGTCTGATGCTTGCCTTTTTTGTAGACAAGCTAGGTTTCACCAACTCGGGCTTATAGGTATGAGCCACGAACATTCTCCAGACTCAGTGGAAACTGTTACCCAGCTGCATGAGACCCATGACTTCTGCCCTGCTCGTGCATTTTCACAAGCAATACAACCAGAAAATGCACAAACGCAAGTATATTCACATTTTCTTGATCTCAGCGAAGTGCGTTGCGAAAGCTGGAGTGGCAGGGTGTCAGTTCGCAGAGGAGCATACCATAAGCCGACTGTAGGGCAGAAGCCAGTTTATTTGAAGTTGAGTGCGCCGCAACATGCGCGAGCTGCACGGAGATCACTACGTCAGTTGTGCAAGTCGTTTCAAAGGCAGCAAAAGATGCTAGCCTGTTTTAGATCCTGGTTGGCATTCTGCCGAAAGGTAAAGGAGCTACGGCTCCGGCAGGAACTGCAGCACCTACGGAGTCTCAGGTCGACGGCAATGAGCTGCCTTGACCAGTGGACTTGTCTTTTTGTTGCCGTGGGGGCAAGAAGAACTTTTCTCAGCCTGAGATGCCTGAGTGCTTTCACTCTCTTCGTATCGCATTCTCGTCAGTGCTTGCATACAGGTAGGTTAGCTCGGCAAATGAAAGTAATAGTGTCGCAGTAAGATTGGCAGCTACGCCATTTCAACGCGTTTTTTCTAGTACAAATTGAGTCAATATTTCTGTTGAAGCCTCTTACTGGGATGTCACTGTATCTCCTAGTCGTACCATGCCTCGGTATATGCATGATTAAATGAACTTTATTTTGTGGCGGTGATAAGGAGAAGGTTGGTCTGCTTGTCCACGAGGATGTTCAATTTCGTTTGATACGCAAAAAAGGATTTCAGTAGTAGCTCTGTCATCAACGCTTCGTGAGTGTAGCGGTGCAGGCTCACGAGCGGAGTCTCAAATGCAAGGTTTTATCATGCCTGCGCAAGATGGCAGAAAAAAAGAGCCTTTTACAAGATATCCTCCTCAGCGCGGAGACCGCAAACACCGTGCAATTTTGCCGCCGTCACTGGATTGCTTGGGTTGGGCTACTGAGAGAGAGGGAGGTGCTACGCTGGGCCATATGCACGACAGTAAAAGCGGCGGCTTCTATTAGTCGAACACTTCTCGCCGGAGCCTTTTACAATTTAAGAGCTGCTGCCTCAGCAGCTTTGGCCCGCAATGAGTGGTAAGAAAGAAAGTTTTGTATGTTAGATTATTAAATTTTGTGCAGCCTACCCACAGTCCCGGCAAGTTTCACACGACAATTGAGTAAAGATTTCTTTTCGTTGCGATTTGCCATGACTGTTGGATGCAGCAAGATCAGGCACCTACGGGGCTGTCAGGCACGACGAATATTACAACACTGGCGCGGTGTTGCTCATCGAATGATACTGCAGCAGGAGTTCAGAGTGAGAGCAGCCGGTACTGTTGTTTGGAATGCGTGGCGAGCTTGGCGACAGATGGCATCTGAAACAATCGAGCGAAGTCGACAGCAAGAAAAAGATGCACAAGAGTTTTACATCAAGCACATCAATACAAAATGTCTCAAGTTTTTCGGGGCTTGGAAAAACTACTGTTTTTTCCAGAGGCGTCTCCAGGCGTGCGCTGGGAAGTGCATTTTAAACTGGAAAAAGCGCGTCTTTACCGAATTGAAGTTGACTTATAGGGAAAGTCAAATATCCAAGAAACAGCTGGCTAAAAAGAGCTCAGACACGCTCAAACGCGCGTTCTGTTGGTGGCTAGTGAATTTTCGTCGTCAAAGGCGTGACGCAGCGGTTTCTCGACTGCTTTTAGCTGACGGGAAACATTCGTTGATACGGGAATCGTTCTTTGCTTGGGCTCAGCTCACAGCCAACTTACATACGGCACGAGCCCTACATCAGCGCCTCGTACAGACGCTTCACTGGAAAAGGTGGAGGAAGGTCGTCAGCTCGCTCAGACACCGAAAGCATCAAGGGGAAGAACTAGCGGCGCGTTCTAGAACTAGCTGCTTATTTCACTGGTTTCATACTTGGAGATTTGAAACACAGCAAGTAATAAGAACAAAGAACCAATTGTTCACTTCATGGCGAAGAATAGCAACTTATTGGAGAAGGCTATCCAAGGCAGAATACAAAGTGAAGGCCCTCAAAAAAAGAACCGTCCTCAGTAGTTTGTTTTCCATCTGGCAAATGGAGGCAAGAAAAACGAGGCTCTGCCGCAAGCTGCAGCACAGTGCACTATGTAGGAAAGGAATCTACGGGCTAAAGCTTTTCAGAGAAGGGGTTGTGAGAGCGAGACGTGCAAAAAAGCTCATCAGTGTTAGAAACCGACACCACCTACTGTCGAACACTTTTGAGCAGTGGAAAAAGCTACAGTTTCAACTACAGAAGCAGCAGTCCGTACGTTTGCACGCTCCTGCCAGACTCTGGCTGCTCTTCATTCAGCCCTGGTGGATGTTGTGGAGACGCAAGACAGAGGCGGCAACCTCCCTGCGCTCCTGGGTAGCCCAAGCCGTTAGTAACCCTATACAGAATGAAGCGCTACTTTCTTCTTGCACAACACTGCAAGGCTCTATACGATCAGCACATCACCAGTGCACAGCTCCAAGGCCCGTTGCTGCAGCTGCTGATTTCTCCTTGCACAAAGCCAGTACCTATTAGTCAACAACAGAACAAAAGCCAGAAGAAACGTTGCCAGGGATCCAGCTCTTCGTAAGTCGGTAGCTAGACGGGTAGCCATTCTAAGAAAATGTTGCAAGAGACTCTGGTGCTGCACAGGATCAACAACAATTACAACAAAATGTTACTGAGCTGGCTTTGACACTAACCTCTCACTAAGGCTGCTGGTCTTGAGACAACGGGCATTTTTCGCATCTGAACAGATGACAAAAGCTCAATTGCTAATCTTTTTCAGTTGTTATTATGAGCAGTGAAACTGGAACTCAGTCAGGCATGACTACACACCCAAAACAGCCCGTATCCTCGCAAAGAAAGCAATGTTTCTTCGTCAACGCCATACTTACAACAATACGAAAAATTCTTGCCGAAAAGAGGCATATAGACATAACAGTGCTAATGCTGAGAGTGCCAGGCGGACGACGCACAATGATAAGGTCTTCAGTCCAGGTAGAGCAAGTGAAGGAACTCTCGAACCGTTTTCTAGTCCACAGCGTAGTGGCTCTGCTGTGCGTCCCTCCTACTCAGGGACAAAGTGTTGTTGTTGCCGCAGTTCTGCGTTCCTGATGTGCACCTGTTGCTATGTCTCTTGCGTTGGGTCTGCTTCAAAGTATCTCCCTGCTCCAACGGCATGATCCACTGGCAGTACAAAAGCTGACTCTCATTGCACCGCTTCCGCCACTCGTGCTGTTGCCGGCTGCCCCCGCGTAAGTCCGGTCTTCCAGTATAGCTGGATGCTTCTTGCTGTGGCACGTGATGGTGTTATTACTTTTACTTGGTTTTATATACTGGCATTTCTTCGATAAATTACTTGTACCGGGTTAGTACTGATGCTGCTGAAACGAGCGAATCTTCAAAAGCTCCACGAAAACCAACGTATTAGTGTGCTTTTGAAGTATGAAATAGCTGTGTACTTCCTCATTCAAATCATATTTTAAAAATATATTTAACTCGTGTGCTGGTCTTGTCAGCCATTTGTTTCACCTTAGCTATAGTTGAACCTAAGTCCTACATAGATGGATTTCAGCCGGGGCCTTCGTTTTATTTGTGGCTTTTTGCTTCTAAAGATCTCGGCTTCCTCAGACGCATTCCTTATATCTGCAAATTCTAATACCTCCAATCTACAGTTTGGGCATGAAGTGGCTAGGTTTTGGGTTCTGCCTTACTACTTGTGAGTGCACTAAGCTTTGTTTAGATTATATGTTTCCCTCGCCGCCTCTCGCTTTTTCTTAATAGTCGCGATTATATGTTTAATTTTAATCTGCTTGGTCTCACTTATGCTCTTCTTTTTTAGTCACCTACAGCAGCAATTTGGCCTTTAAATTTTATTATAAGCTTCATTCAACGTATCGGGCCTGTTCCTGTCCCTCTATACTGACCTATTCAGTTGATGTTATTCATTATTACTAGGCATTAAACTTATTTGGTATTTTGCCACCTGCGTTTTTTCCTTTTTCGGCCTTCTATCCTGCCTTCCCTTTGTTTTCTGATTCCTTCATGCTATTCAGAAATGATGCTGGTGTTATTGGCATTACTACTATTGTCATAAGTATTCTGAAAAATTTAGTCTTTCACCATGTTTCATATTGCCTTCCTTGCATTATGAGCGCTTGATATGTGTGGCTTACCCGTTTGCGTGGAATGGCTTCAAGGCACCCACACGCAGCGCTCCGTCTTCACGGCATACTGCTATCCTTTTATGGAATATGTGTTTGCACTGACCTAATGCTATATCTGTAGAGCAACTCCCGTGCCTCCTTGTAGGGCCCATCACCGTACGAAGCATAGGACTTGCTGCTAGTACCGGTGGCTGCTTTTACTTTCGGTGAGCCAGTCCTCTGGACACTGTTTTAATATTCGGCCAATGAATTTTAATTTTGCTGAGGATTTACTTCCTTTTTTTAGCTGTTCATGGAGAGAATAAGGGTCTACTCTAGCCTCTAGAAGTATCCTCAATGACACTCTGTCACCGTACACGCTGTCCAAGTTCAGTGCAGTTGTTCATTTGATCAAGCAGCAGCCAAACATCTGAAAGTAGTAGGGCACTTGCTAATTAAGACTATAGCAACACTGAGGGACGCGCAGTGCGGCAGATCTGACTAGTGTTTCTTGTCTCTTCAGCACGCGGCTGGTATACTTACGTTGCTTTGGCGAGCGCTCTACTCGCTTGTTCAATTTTTCTTTTGTTGTTGAGAACTGTCCAGTACAGTGTGCACTGCCTGTTCTGTGTACTCATATCCCATTCGCCAGTCTCCTGTAAGTGAAAAAGTGCGCTTGAGCACAAGGCAGGTCTTCAAAACTACATCATTTTGTTTTCGGAAGACTAGCAGGAACACGTTTCGTGCAGGTGATTGCAATTTCCGCTGCAATCGCGTTCCAGCTGCTCAACCGATGCGTTTCTTTCAGCACAAATACCTGAGCCTTTGTTGTCAGCTGCTCGCTGCATATTGCCATCTAGTCGAACTGTTTCACTGAGTGACTGGACGAAATGTGTTTCAGGGCCTTGGTGCAAGACAGGAACTGGTTGCTTTGAAAGTGGCACTCTTGCATGAGTGGGGCAGCTTTATGCGCTGTATTTGGCCCGCACTTTATATTTGTCCGCTGTGCTGCTTCATTCGACGACACCACTGCATTAAGGGGATTACTTGTACAACACTGCTGATCAGACCGACATGGTGCAGTCTCCATAGGCAAAAAAACAGATGTAGAAGGAATGCCAGATGGCGGGCTTCTATCAAGCATGCCTGGCTGAGGCAGAGAGGTAGCATCGCCCGAGCATGGAGGCAAACCAGGAGACCGCAGGCTTTGTACCTTTTGTAAAGGGCGCCCGTAATAGTGTACATTACACGACGGACAGAAGCAACAAGTGAAAGCCTCCTTGCCTTGGCAGTACTTTACTTGCTCAAGGATAGCCGTATCTTGGGGCCGCTGCATGGCTCTGTTATCTTGGAGTGCCTGCGGTGAGGGACTTGAGGCTGCATTGGAGTGTTTATCCATCAAATGAGCGTGTTGACGAATGTACGACTCAGTCGTGGCAGTGTCTCCTTTTATTGGTTCTAGCTCCCCCTGTTTTCCAAGAAGCCGCGAATCTCCAAGGGAAATTGCTAGAGCAGTCTGAGCATGCAAACAAGAATTGCCGCGTTATTTCCTATCGAGAGTTTTAAGCCATACTTTTAATAATGTGCGCGTCGCAGTGTGTGAGGATGCGCTGGGGCGTGACTGCGCTTACTGCAAAAAAATCATCCAGCGTCACTTGTACTCGCCTGAGCAACAAACGCCGCAAAATGCTAGCATAGGGCAACAGTTGTGAGGATGAGCTTTGGCACAGTGCAGCCGTGCACTGCCATAACGTAACTATAGATGTATGATTATGAAACATTTTGGAATAGCGGCAATTCACCAGAAGGTTTTGAAGGCGTGTAAGCTGAATGATGCTGCTTACCATCCGAGGACTTGCAGAAATGCAGATTCTGCCTCTACTAAATCCTCAACAGGGACACCGCCAAGCTGTTACAAAGCAGCAACAAGGAATAGCCACAATGGCAACCTATGTGCAGTTCTACGTACAAAGGGTGTTGTGGAATAGCTTGAGAATCTGTTTGTTGCGCGGAAAATTCGACTACTGATCACTCTTCTGCCACTAAGACGAAATTTCTTTGTTGTTGAAACTGCGTCTTTCAAAAGTAGGTTTTCACATGGTGTCTTAGTATATGTATTAGCAGGGGGGCACTACTGTCATGTTGTTTGCTCTGCCTGAGTCACCAATTGTTTTGGGTGTCACTTCAGCCTCCTCTTACCTGAGCCCATTGCCTGATGCTTGTATGATCATCTCTATGCATTTTTCTTGCCAAGAATGATGAAGTCAGCAGCAGCCTATGGGCAGTCAAATAGTTGAACTCTATAAATCCAATGCGAGCTGCTGTTACGACCAGACGGTTATTGCCTGATGGAGACTTCCGAATTGCCAGCCCGACTCGGGTGCTGCAGCCAGTAGGGGTTGTACTACAGACTTCATTAACGCTGCTGCTCTGGTGTTCCTGTTGGTGAAGCTGCATGCGGCCCTGGAGTGCAGCAGCAAGCAAGCTATTTTGTCTACAGAGAAAACGGTTAAGGAGTGCCGCAGCCATTATTCCTTCGTTGACAGTTTGTTTTCCGTGCTTGAAAATCCGCTTTACCAAATACTCCTCAAGGCCTATTTGTGGCTTTGAGGAGCAGTGAAAGGGAGAAGTCGTTAGATCTTTGATCTGTTGTAGCTTCTCATCACTCCCAAAGTAACTGACGCTGCAACATGCGGCCAAAAGGGAGACAAACGATTCTACACACACAAACGATACTTCGCTATGCCGAAGGAGCGCAAGATTTTTCATCTTTTCTTCGCCCTTTTTGCTATCGTCTGCTGTTTCTCGAGTGCTGTTGCAAAATATGGGGTTGTAACGAGAAGCGCATGATGAACCTGCAGGCCGTTGTAGATCCGGGAGCTTAGGACAACTTAGTTTATACTCAGTTGTCTTAAACCTTGAGCTAATGGTATTGCCATGTTGGTTTTCCTGCATTCTCGGCTCGTCTGTAACATTGATTCCGAACTGGGCTTGTGGAGGTGTTTCAGCTGCAGTTGTTGTTGCTGTTTCTCTCTCCGACGTTAACCCTGTGTCAAGCTTTTCCTGAAGTGCCTTTGCAGGCGGCGATGGTAAAGAATGATTCTCCACACTGGGAAAGTCTAGTCGCGTAGGCGAAGGAGACTCTCGTTTCGTTCTTTGCCTTTGCAACGAGGGGCACTCAGTTATTGTTTTGTTTGCTGAAGCTGGTGAAGGAGGCGGTGTTGCAGTCTCTTTGCTTTCCTGTATCGCCAGACGCATGCAAGTTACAAATGTGTTGAATGATTCACACAAAGCTGCATCTATCTATAGTAGACTGTACACTTTTTCTACAGGCCCACTCACATTGATTCTCTTCGTGGTCCGAGAAGTTGCTTCTCCGCTGCCCGATATCGATGTCCAGATTGTACACGCTCGGGTCAGTCGGCGTTGTTCAATCAATTCAGCGTGACTGCAATTTTCTTGATACTTCGAAACAGGAGCGGGGGTTGCCATTCCCTTTCGAACCTTTTGTGAACCCTTTCTTTGCATTGCGCGTTCTGTTGTCTGCGTCATTTCTCTACCATGCTGGGCAACGCAGCCAACAGATGATCGCAGGCGATTTGTTCCAACCGCCTTGCTAGTTTTTCTTTCAAAAATAACGGAGGGACGCGAGTGGCCATGATCGTTCTTTTGCTGTGTTGTTGGTAGAAGCAGTGAAAGCCGCATAGGTGCAGGTTCTGTTAATAGAAGATTTTCCTTACTATGAAAATCTACTGACAAACTGTGGGGCGGGCAGCACGGCGTCAGCGGATTAGCCGGAGCACTAGCACCGACTCGGCAGAAATCTCGCATGACTTTCATCCCCTTACTAGTATGTAGTACCTTGCTTTTACCACTACTAACGAAGTGATGCACCACCGCTGGAGAAGACGTCGCTTCCCCTTGAATGAGTGGAGCATTGCGCGTTTTCATCTCATGTGCTCCAGCGCATTCTGCCTCATCAGCAAGACTATCTTGCTGCTGAGAGGAATAGAGGCGAAGCATCATTTCCATCTTGTGTGCTTCCTTTTTCGGGGCTTGGGGAGGTCCGCTACCCGACACATGGAAACTATGCACATGCCTCCTGGCGATTGTCCGGAGCGCAGGTCCTGTCAAACGCTGTGCTGAGGGTACTTTCAGAGCTTCGCTAGGCTTTATCGAAGAAGAAGAAGAAGGGTTGAGTAGTGAAGACAGTGTCGTTCGATTTAGCGTACAGCTAAATGGACCAGCTAAACCTTTGTTTTCATGAGCCTTCGCTTGCAGAGTAGAACTTGTTGTCCAGTACCTCTCTAGGAGTTGCGGTCTAGTGGCCGGTCTCCCTTTATCTTTTGTCGCTGCAGAAGATGTCGCTCGTAAATTTTCTGCCAACGTTGAGGCGATTGACGCATCACCCGCGGAGCCTGACCAGGAAAGGAGTGGTATGAAAGATGCATTTTCCACTGAAGCACTGCCTCTGCGCTGGGACATTTTCTGATTCATAGCGACTTCGCCAGACCATAACAGAGCTTTTTTCTGCCGTGCAGCACGATAAAATCTTGAAACAAGATTTTATAGACAGCTGCTGTTCCGTTTTGGATGCTGCTGCCGGTGCTGGCAGTTCGCTCCGAATTGGCAGCGGCGTGCAGTTGAATCATGTAGTGTTAACATATGATTTCACTGGAAGCCATTCATCAGTGAGCATCACATTACTCTAACTATGCTAGATTCGAATTTATGCTGCCTTTTTAGATCCGGCGACCCCAATTGCTGCCTTTCACACCCTTGAAAGATGCACTTGCCGAAAATGCAAACGAATCAATAGCAGTGCAGTAACCACAATACTGCTGGTAGGATATAACTCTTGAAACGTTTTTGAGACTTTTGTTCAATCAAAAGAACTTTAAATACATTTTATGTAGGCAGCATCGCTATCACGCTTTGCTTTACTCTCCTTAGCCAGTCGTTGCATATTATTATTACACGACTCTTCCGGAGCGACTAAAAGGGATCCAGAAAAAAAAGAATTAAATAAGAATGGATGGAAAAAGACCAGTCTTAACTGGATCTTTCGTTATATCCTGGAGGTGACAAAAAACGCTCATGCCTCTGTTGGAAGGTCTTGCCAAGGCACATGTCAGGCTCCAGTTTTAGAACGTTGCTGTCTTCCTTCTCTCATTGCCACTGCATCGCCATAAAAGTAGGTGAAGGCGTTCAGTAAGCAATTTAGAAGGGAGGAAGACATAGAAGCACTCCACTGCATTAAACCTTTGTCCGGTTAGTCCGTCCAGCTTTCAGTCGCAGCGGTTGACAGTGGAGAGCATTACGCATAGAAAAAAGCAGGAACTGAAGACTGTTCCAGGCATATGAGCTATAAAGTTCGGGTGAATAGACCTAGAACTGGGAAAGGTAGTCTAAGATTGAGTTAGCTTGTCACTCGCACACCAGCGGCCATCCATAGGCTCTAGTACCGCGCAAGCGGGCTTCATTAGATAACATATATTATTTTGAGGGGGAAAGTGGAAAAACATTAGTCGTGTACTTAGTATCTTTTTTCGGGATCCAGCTTCAACTCGTACAGCCTGGGGCGATCGTGCTCTGCCCTTGTGAACCACGGGGCTGCCCACCAGAAGCATGCACTGGTCCATGGGGCCCAGGCGCATATGAGTGGTTGTTTAATGCGTTCTTGTTCGGCACTCTATGTAACGCTTTCATGGGTCTTTTCTTCGAGTAGCCGAGAAAATTACATTCCGCACAGGGTGTTCCATACGGCGCACACAGACGGAATGTATCTGCTTGCTTTCGGCTTGACTTTCTTCGCTTAAAAGATACGGCACTGTACAATAACCGTTGGTGAATCTATTGTTTCTGAACAGAGAGACTTCACAACCAGCACCAGCTGAGGTCATCTGTACTACGCACATTGCCTTGTGCTGGTAAAAAGGTTCTCGCAATATTACCGGAGTGCAGGCAGCAGCACGCCTATCGCAGCTTCATGCTATGTAGACAAGATTAGACATACCGGTATGTTCGTACCATACGTTGCACTTCAAAAATGTATCAAGCTAGTCCTTTACAGTTTTGGCTTGGAAACTCATGTTGACAAGCCAACGATTTTTTAAGCAAGCCAGAGGTGAGAGTATCCACATGTAAAAGCACACTGCAGTGTAGCGGCGTACATTGGTGCTGTGTCCTGCTACACAAAAAAATTTCGGTGCATCTTGCTCCTTGTCAGCGCAGAATAAATAAGATAAAAGTTGAATACGTCTAAACACAGGCCAGCAGGAAAAGAGAAGAGGGGCATTGACATTTACTATTCAGGTACTGGGAGCATTATGCAGGCAATGTAGTAACCCACTGCGTTCTCGCGTTAACATTATTGGCATTACCTGTCTGTACGTTCCTCAAAGGGAGGAAAAACAGCTTAAACTGCCTCAGGTGTGTGGATACATGCTCTATGCTTTTTTGATGTGCACTATGGTGTCGCGATTTTGATTCAAGCTTGTGCAGCGGAGTATCAAAGACGTGCTAAGCACTTTTCTGAGAAAGTGGAAATAGAAGTAAAGAGGTTTTTTGAGTTCCCACCAGACCGAGTAAGTAAGGCAAATAATGTAATAAATGTTATCAGTGCATAGGTAACTGCTAACTTCGTCGTTTTCCCTCGAAAGCAAGCCTGGAACTCGCCGTAACAAAATTTTCCGCCTAGCTCAAGCGTGGAAAGGTTGTATTCAACTTAATAATTTCGGCACAGCACCCGTAATCAAGAATCTTGCAGTGCCCTTTTGTTCGAGTTATTTTGTTTCTTTCTTCTCACCCCGATAATCTGGTAGCATTTGAACACAATTTATTCCCTTATTTTTATTACACGGGTTGTACGTTTCTGTACTGGAATCTGCATTGTTCAAGGCCTCACGGCAAAGTAAGGATGCTTTTCATTAATTAATTAGGAAGCACTAAAAGCCAGTTCCTGGGTAAATTATATTGCTACACGCTGCACAAGACCTATAAATCACAAGTAGACAACTGCTTTCACACATAATCTAGTCGGGCTTTCGAATCCTGAGTTAAAGTCCAACGAACAGAAAGGGAATAGCTTCGCGAGCAGATGAAGATTTGCACAGAGGAGAGTCCAACGTTTCATTTGCCTGTGCGACTGCTCTGTGAAATACCTATAGAGGGGGTTTCGCATTCTCTGTTCCTAGAATTTCTGCGGTTAAGGCTCTTAAAAGTAATCCCATATCTTATACTAGTTCGTAGTTAATCAAAATCCAATATCAAACTTCATGTCGTCTCGCGGAACACTATGAATAGAGGACGTTTGGCGGACCTCGGTGCCCATGGACGATACGCTTCTCCTTGCTCAGCCCTCAAATTTTCCTAACTTTCTTCTCATATTCACGCAATTATATACGCAGCTGTTCTCTTCCACGATATCGCGGGATAAGGAGGTGTGCCAGGAGCGACAAACGAAATCAATTATGGCAGAGGCTGGTGTGAGCTCAGTCCAGCTCCGCTCCTTCCCTATCTCGTTTTGGCTGCATCCATTGACTCTTATCACGACTAATTACGACGCCATGCACTTGGAATGCCGAAACAGCATCGTTATTATCTCCCTGTTTCCACCGGGATATATCTTTCTTCGCGGGGCTGCCGCTTACAGCAGCTTCAGTCCTTCTTGCCAGCCCCAAACTCTGCATCTACCATCCGAGCATACCAGGACTTGTCGCCTAAGGAAGAAGCTTATTTGCTTGTTTATCAGATTTTTCACCACGTAAATCTACTTATTGTGAATTTCAAGACAGTGAAGGGCATTTCTGGGCGGCATCGTTGTGCTGCGCACAACAGGGACTCTGGTGTGCTGAAACTGAGCTAATTAAGTGACACTTGCGAAGTTTTTGGCCAATGTAGAGCCTTGAAATGAACAGAAAATATAGTCTTCCCATGTTGTGGCGAAAGGAAACTTGTAAATGGAACTTAGGGGTGCGAAGTGACTTGGGATTCTCCTTCCACCACGTGCACTGAGGGGTATGAAAAAGTTTGGCGCAACACTCTGCCCCATCCTTTTTTCTTGCTACGGCGCGCAACGTAAACTATGTAATTTTGGAAGAGACTGTATAGCCATACTCTCACTGTAGTACGTTTTAAAGGAAGTGAAATCTGGCTTCTATTCTCTCAGATCATTAACGCAACCAGTGCACTTGAGACTCATCATATCAAGTACAATGTAGCCGCGAACATTTTTGTTTTTCCACAGGGAAACACACATAATTATGATGCTCAATGTGGTATTACTAGCATTTCCACAGTGTGTGATGCGTCCAAATGCTACTGGATCAAATTGGAACAATCTGCAAACAAGCCAACGCACCAGTCCCCAACACAACGTTGATAGAAAACGGGGGAATTCGAGTTTCATAGCTTTTTATATTCACAATGATTTTAGTTTCAAGCAACTGTTAATGCGTCCTGCCACAACATGACGAATGCAGGGTACAGGGGTGGAATAAAGCATATAGCCAAAATTGTATGTAAACTTATTGAAAAGTAGATTAAAAATACGTAAAACTCCGTACAAAATTACTCTCAAAGTGCAAAACTTCGAAAACTCTTCTTCGTACAACATTAGGAGAGCCACACACTTTGAGATGCTCATACCTCATAGCTATTCTAGAATTCGCTCAGCTGCATAAGAACGAGATTCCAAGAGATCAGCTTCTACAGCTACAGTGACACAGTACTCATGAACTTGTCGTGGAACTTCGTTTCCTTGCAGTTCTTCATTACCCGCAGCGCGATCAAACAGATATTGCTCACTATCTTTTTGAAACCGTGCGGAAGACTTTTCACTAGATTCCGAATATTTACGTTGGTTTGTAACTGAGCTTTTCATGGTCTGAGAAGATTCAACGTTGTATAAAGTTTTGACAGGGGATAAACGTCTGAAAGTATAGAAACTACATGTGATGCAACGATTCCCATTAACGACCACACCAGTTCTGGAAAGCAGACCTTCCGGCTCCAGTGGATAGGTTGAAACTGCGCACGGAGTCAGAGCCACTGCGCCATGCACAGATTCATGTCCTCATCAGACGTATATGAAGTAGTTTTGCAGCTGTGCAAGGTAAAATCACGTCCGCCCAAACAAGTGCTGGTGCTCCCACATTTCTGTTGAAATATTGTTGCTTCTTCGGCCGCTCCAGCGTCTGGGGCAGTTGTTGCGATTGTTGTGGTCGGTGCTGCACTAACGGTTGCAAGTTTTAACGGTATTTTTCGCTGTTGTTGTGACGCTGTTGTTCTCGCTCTGTTTTTACAGTAGGAACTAAAGGAATTATTAGTTGCTTGGTTCTGTCGTTGCAGTGTGGTCCTTGTGCTTCCGTCATATTGTCAACATTACCACGGCAGCCCTCCTGTAAGTATTGTTGCTGCTCTGTTGGACTGTTTTCGGTGTAGTCAAGATCGTGCTCTTGTTGCTGCTGTATTGGCTGCAGCAGTGCGAAGCTGGGACATCCTTGCTGATGTGAACACTACTTTATTCGCAATAGCGTACTCAGTGCCACAAACTCTGGGGTCGGCGTAGACCATTTGTTGATGCTTAGCATGTAATGTTTGAGTTTTGTCCCTTGTCTCAACGTTGTTCAAGACTGTTGACCTCTGTAAAGATTTGGCTGCACTGAATGGGTTCTGTCTCATCATCACCTTAAAGGGACTAATCTCGGCAAAAGTGATACAAGTCGTGCTGTAGCGTAGTTCAACTGCAGGTAGTGAGCACTTTCGTCCCCTTGTACGAATATATTAAGTGAAGAGCATCTTCCCCAGAGGGCGATTAATGTTTTTTCCTTGATCGCCAGTCTAGGGTTAATAAGCAGATAGTGTAACACGCTTCCTACTGGAACGGACACAGAACTTCTGCCATATATCTCAGTGAAAGCGAGTGTCAATGAGCAACTAAAAGAGCCGTTATATTGGACTAGACAAGCAGCAATTTGTTAAACAGTACTTCACAATGTAGCCATCAGATGTGGATAAGCGTGTTAGATCAGCATCGGCAGCGGCGATTGGCTGGGATGATCCACGCCAAAATGCTATTCGGGATCCCTTGCAAGGATGCCAACTCTGAAATATTGCTGTAGCCCCCAAAGGCTGTGCTGTGGTGCGTCAAAAATGGTTCTTATCGTTGGCAAACTTTCCACAGCTCTAAAATGATGGAAGGAAAACAAGCTGCCGGAAGATGCTTCGCGCAAATTTCCAAGTAATTATTCAGAATTGCATTTAAGTCCGCAAGTCATATTTCAATACAACAGACCTTCATTGTCAAGAGGGACCACAACAGTTGTGGGTTCATAGCGTGCGCATGGAATCTCAAGGTCGTGTGCTTTTTGTCCTCGTAGGGTCCTCCGACATGTGCCGAGGCGTCACTGTATAACGAGCATAATTTAGTGACTCCAGATATTCAAAGGATACTTTAAGCGGCTACTCATTGCTGGATCGTCCTTACTGCTTGCTCACAATTTCGGCCTTAATGAAAGCGGCTGTGCTTTTTGGTGAGTCTCAGCGAGATAAACAAAGCTCCCTCACCGTGAACACGCAGAATTAGTCGAGCTGAACGACGAGCTGACACGTCTGTGTCTTTTATCCAGGCTCTTTAATCCAAAGGCCTACCTGTAACATGCCATATCTGCTTCAAGCTCAGTACCATGCGCGAAATAATCCGATTACGGGGGCGGCGCAGAGCGGCAATGCAATTGTGCAAAATTGAGTGAAGTTACTTCACTGAACGAGCGTCAAGGGCTGCATCGCGAGGCGAGGCCGGCATTACATATTTTCTTGTCATCTAAGAACCCGATTGCATCTTGCCCGAGTAATATTTGAAGGTTTGTTTTCGTGTTGGCTTTTCTGGGAGAAAGAGCACCATCAAGGCTGCGCAGCATCGTATTTTAAACTTATCACTAAGCAGAATGACCCTGTTTTGAGACAGTCCACGCCCACTTGGAGCTGATGAATGCCAGCTTCGCCGTCTAATGTGGAGAACTGTATTGTACTACCCAGCGTCTCATGTATTGTTCGCTGTGCGAATGAGAGAAAACCCTCCATCACCTTAGGCGACTCAAAGAGTAATAATTGACTCTCACGAGCAAATTCCGTTCACCTGAGTCATTGTCGTGCATACTAACCTATTAAACATAATGTTTAATAGGTTGGTATGGCGCACAGAACGGCGGGTACGTCGACCAAATCCAACCGTAGGCAGATAAGGCGGCTTTCTCCTACTCATCAAAGGCGAGCTGCCCTAGCGGCACTCCTCCAGTAATGTTCTTACCTTAGCCTCTTCCGCTGAGAAGAAAAAAGGAAATAAGAAGCCCTGAATTCCCCGCCATACTGGATGGCTACGTGAGTTTCACCAGCACAATTAGCCTCACTTGATGTTTCTTCCGGCTTCGTCCTCTCCACTTTGCTCTATTATAGGTCGCGTGACTTAGGAACAGTGTGTAGAAAATTTACTCTCTCCTCTACTGCCATGGGCTATAGCTGGCCACGTCGTTTCACGTTATCTGAGCACTGGCCATGAACAGCGTCCTTCCCTCATTGCCATCTTCTGCTGCATTCCCGCCTATCCGTCCTGCATCTAGATCGCAACTTCTATTAATTGCACTGAGCCGTCAGCTGACACTCTAACGCTTGAACATCTTACTACCAGGTCGCATGCTCTCCAGCGTTTTGTCTCAAAATGATGGCCCATCTCAATCCCCCACAAATCGTCAGGAAACCGAGCACCCACACACTCCGCCCACTCCAAGCAACAGCAAACCGTTAGAGTGTCTCGAATCTACTGACTATGACAATTCCCCATGCTACTGTTGACGCCCTGCTGAAAGCTCCAAACAACATTCTTCAGTTGATAATTTGTGGGGGAGCGTTAACCAAAATTGCTGCATCAGCCAATTCTGGAGTTCTCCCCAGTGCTGTTCTGGCTTTTTGCTCCACATTTAATTACAATACTGCTCCCCCCATACAGGGTTGAATCGCTAGCACTGCCTTATCTCTGCGTTTCATGCGTTTAGCCGTCCTGTGTTTGGTGTGCCCTCAATATTTTACCGTAGCTAAAGTGCATGTTTAAGGATGAGTCTAGCCATGTTTTGCATGCCATAAAACGTTTTAAAAAGACTTTTAGGCATTAGTCGAACACTGAAATATCCCCGAACTCCGCCTAACTGCAGAGAACACTGAGCCTAATCTGTTCCAAAACTATTTTTGGCTACTTGATATACTTCTGGCTACACTCTAATTCTCCTCATTCTACAAGGAAGCATCCCTGGAGGTCGTCTCTGCGCAGCGTTACAGCGTTTCCAACACTGCTTTGCTGGCTCCCTTCGAAGGAACGTCATCGTCCTCCTAACGTTTCTGCCTCTTCAAGTCCCTTGCCTGAATCTACAGCAGAGGAGGTCGTCGCTCTCATTTTGGCAGAGGTGGTCGCCGCTATTTTCTGCTCTTTGTCTGCGTGCGTGTGTCTGTCCGTAGTAGTTGCCACATTCACAATCTTACACGAAGTCTGCCATCCGTATCTGGCTGTCTGGATACCCCTGCTGCCGCCGGACCATGCCGGCTGATATCTGTTCTCTACTGTTGATTTGCAGAATCATTATTAGTGGCATCGCCACCCGCAGATTAGACATAATTTCACTCATTTATTCCAGTGCTCACTTAGATCTAGTACTTTCATCGGCCCTTGGCTCACTCTCTAACCCTTTTGTTCAAGCTGTGCTCAAACTTTTCTTGATGCGTTTCCCCTTGTTCCTCGCAGTAATACGCTCTAATTATTGTTCGTTCAGTTTCTAATTGCTCACTAGCTCAGCTGCTGGCATATCCAGTCCTTGTACGGCTATCTCCGCGAAGTTAGCAGAGTACGCGTAGGTGGTCCCCTTGCCACTCATTAGCTACGATCTGACGGATATCTGCAGAACAACCTGAAGTGCAAGGCTGCTGGACAGCGTCACGCTTCAACCACGCACAATCTGCCAAGCCTGCAGCCGTATCATACAGATGGATCCAGTGCACCAGTATCGCGTTGGTTCAGTTGCAACACACACGTACGGCTACAAAAGCAAAATCTGAGGTTCTGATGAAAACAAGCAGGCCTGCAATCCCTTTCGTGATTCGGTCTTCCGGATACTTCCTTCTCGCAAGAGATAGGTGTGATGATGGCTCGTAGATACATGACGCAAACTAAGACTACGCCAAAGCTAGGAATTTGGCCATCTGCGCGCATGCCACACTATTAGCCCACAAGAACTAAAAAATCGTATGGGGAGGCCTTCTTTTGACCACTTCAGCTCTGGATGCGCGATTCTGTTCACTTGTTTGAATCTAAAGCTTTAACAAAACAAGAATCCTGTTCAGACACTGCTGCACCAGAAAATGCATTCGCGCTCCACAGCTTTTCAGGCCGGTGAGAACAACTGGCAGTTCTGCCGCAGCGGTAGCTCTACTCTCAAAGGTCCTTCCCGTTTGTTGTGAATGCTTCAAATCAAATGATAGCATCACACAGGAGGTAGCAGGCTTCGTTGTGAGCTCAATTCCTCTGAAGTCAGCAAGCCTTGCTCCTCTGCTGTCGGCAGTTGCAGAAGTTCACGGATCGCTATCTCCTTGTTAGCGGAGTAATGCTCATGTTCGCACCATGAGATTTCGCCTTCCCTATCTACAAGGAATATGTAAGCCCGCTGGGCGTCTGCCAGCTGAAGGGACTCGACAAATGCGTTCTTGTTAGTGAAGCACACTAGAGTCTTAGAACGGACTGCTTGCAATGCAGACAAACGCATGTTTTCTGTTGCGTAGCCCGCTGCACCGCTTTCATTCTCCCCGTTGCCGGTCTGTTCCGGTGGTCTTAGGGAAGTGCTTCCGTCCCCTTCGTTTTCTTCAGTGGTCTTCTTTGTTTCGCATTCGTCATGTACGAAATCCCCCCTGCCTACTGCAAAGCGTAATCTCTCGTCAGTCCACCAGCGGAGCAACACACCGCCCGGGTGCCTGAACATAGAGTACAGTCCAGCATTGCATGAGCTAACCTATCTTTGTGCATGCTTAAATGTCTCAACGTCCGGCTGCAGTCATTAGGCAGGCGTCTGATGTAATTTGTACGTGAGAACAGTGGGTGCTGAATCGATCTGCAAATGTTTCCTTCCGACCTGATGACCAGTCTGTAGGTCTCGATCTGCGAATCGTCTATGTTGCGCCTTTTAACAAGATCTTTTTTAAGCGTGCGTGCAAATGAAATCCAAGAGTCCATATCCTTGTAGTGAGATGCCTTGAAACCCACAACGAGTAAGTTGAGCTGGCCCTTTAGGTCCTGTGGCACTTTCACAGTCTTGCCGAGTAGATCTCGGCAAATCAACGGTGGAAATCGCCTAAAAATAATGGGAACGGCCCGTCCAAAATGCAAGTGTGACATTTCTTCAGAGAGGCTTTCGGGGCCAAGAACTGCTGAACGATGCCGTGGTCCACTGCCGAAGCCAGGGCAGGATGCGGCAGCGCCGCCTGTGCCCTGTTTCCCAAGAGCATTAATTAAGAATGCATTACGAATTTGAAAATCTCATCGGCGGCCGGCTGGCCTCCTCATGGGTAAGACACGAGGCGGGCACGTGCAACGCGAATACTGCGGAAGCCACCACAGCGGGAGATACAGCATAAATGGTAGTGAGCGCTATATCAGTTCAAGCAATAAAGCTTCAAAAAAAAACAAAAATCAATGTGGTTATGTCTACTGGCCAGTGCCAGCCCGAGATGAAGCGCGTTGTGGGGCCCCTAGGGATCTGCATTATATGGAATGCCAGCTGTCTCCTATTCACTCAGAATTCAGGGGATTTCTCACATTTTGCAATAGTGCGCCTGATATCTATTTTCTCGAGATTTATAATGGATCTCCTCACATTCTACCCCCAGACAACAAGGGGACAGAATTGCTAAGATTCCTTCGCAATGTTGTGGAAATGCAGCATAGGGAAATGCAAGTGACTGTTGCTGGCGCAGTTTCTACCGAGCATCGGTGCATTAAGTAAGTGGCTGCAGCAGCAGGAACGAAGGCAAGGGAACCTTGGTCACCCTCCAACGATGGCACACACTGAGCAGCGGAGCCAGTGGATTAGCTTTGAACTGGAGGGCCCCTAAAGAGGTGGTTGTACTAGTCATGCATTGGCTTTCGTATCTAGCATGCGGTCGCTGGCTTGGCTACTTTTGGGACTTACTCAGGCTTTCCTTACTGTACGGGCTACTCTTATCGTGCCCTTCCGATCATTCAAAGAAAGACGAGGAGCATGGGTGAAAACTGGGCGTTCTGCGTTGCTGCCGGCCCCAAGCCTTCCATGTACTTCCTTCAAGTACAGGGAAAACCGTGACAGGAATGGCAACGGCTTAAGTAAAGGGGAGGTGGGAAGGTTAGTCTTTAAAGGGCCTTTCTGCAGCGAATATGCGTTCCTTACAAAACTGGCGTCTCGCACTGAAGCAACGGCGCTTCATTGCTCTGCTCAAAGGCACAAAAGCGGCTACACGATAAGTGAAGCTGATCGCTCTCGTGCTCTACGTGCTTTGCCCAGCAGCAAGACAGCATTCCAGCAAAATCCAGCAGAGAAGTCCGTCAACGAAGATGCCAAAGGAAACAGTCCAGAGGCTCATTCAGCAGGGGCCTATGCAGACTCGCTGTTGCCACCTCGGGGTTTTCGGGACTTCCCGCCTAGCATTTTTTCTGCTCACAAATACGTTTTCTCTAAATGGCACCAGGTGGCCTCAGAGTTTGGGTTTCGCGAGTACAAAGCCCCCTCAGTCGAGCGCTCTTCTCTTTACTCTCACTTCTCTCCCTCGGGTTCCAACAATGCACCTTCCTCACTTCCTGGCAAGCCATATGAAACGCCTTCTTCTCCACTCGCTACTATACCCCCTCACATCTACTGTTTGCACGTAAGCGGTCCAGATCCCCTCTGTCTGCGTCCTGAGATCACGCCTTCCTTAGCCCGTATGCTTCAGAGAGAACAGCAACAGCAGCCTTCAGGAATAGCTCGCCGCTGGTATTCTATAGAAAGAGTTTGGCGGCATGAGAGACCTGGTTGTGGCCGAAGGCGGGAGCATTTCCAGTGGAACCTCGATATAGTACTTCCCTTTCTTCCTGAGGCGAACCCTTCCAGTGGTATTCCCTCAGAGGCAGCAGGCCAAGGTGACTTGAGTCAAAAAGCAAAGCGAAATCGCGCACAGTTTTGTTCCCTTGCAACGGCAGAACTGATAGCCGCTGCAGTTCGCCTCTTCCAAAATGTGGGCCTTTCTTCGAGGGATGTGCGCATTCGTATAGGGAGCCGGGCTCTGCTAAGCGATCTTCTGTGGACCGACAAAGATTTAAGAGGTGCTGAGGTTGGCACTTCTGTTTCTGAATCTTCCATTAGCACCGGAACGACTACACATGATGGATGCCCCTTTGAGCACAAACTCATCACTGCAATGCAGGTGCTGGATCGTGCCGGCCGACAAAGCCAAGAGGAGACACAGAAGGCGCTCGCGGAGAGGCTAAACATCAGCTTGGATAAGTCCCGCCGCGTCCTGCAGCGAATACTTTCGTTCGACGTTAACAGCGATGCCATGGCGTTTGAGTTATCCGAAAAACTGCGGGAGCTGGAGAGGCGCCGTTTTGAGGACTGCCGAAACGGTGACATGTCTACTCAGAACCATCTGGAAGAACAAAGGTTTGCTGATTCTGGTAAAAGCCATAGCTCTCAAGAGCTACCAGACTCTGTGAGAGAGCTGCGGTATGTGCTTCATTTGCTAAAAGAGGGCTACGGCACAGGGGATTGGATCGACATGGATCTTCTGATTGTGCGGGGCCTTCACTACTATACGGGCATTGTTTTTGAAGCATTCGATACAGAGGCCGCTTTTAGAGCCATTTTAGGAGGTGGTTGCTATGGGGGACCTGGCGCCTACCCGGCGGAAGTGGTAAATACAGGGCCTCATATCTCTAAGAATAAAATGGAGATGTTAACGGCAAATCCGCCTTTAAACACACAAGCGTTTCACACCCGAGGAAGAATGAGGCCTGCAGTCACTGGAGTTGGTTTGGGTATGGGTGACTGCGTACTTATGGAACTGCTGCAACACAAGGGTCTTCTTCCCCACACTGGGAGCTCTGTTGATGTTCTGGTTACCCTGCATGAAAAATCCACGGCGGAGCGTTCGCGTAGAAGCCACGGCGGCGCTCTTACTGGCAAAGCACCAGCTATTCAGAATAGCACTATTGACGGAGAAGACGAGCATTCAATAGCAGACGCATGTGATACTCAGTCTGCTGCGCATATGCTGCCTTCAGTAGCAGGCACGTATGATCCCCGGTCTGCGTCCGCACAGATGCTGTGCTGTAGGCTGCGGGAGCTCGGCCTTCGCGTGGAGCTATTGCTGCCGCCTCAGCGATCTACACGAGCCATAATGAAACACGCCCGCTCTCTAGGGGCCAAAGCAATTGCTTTTGTTGCAACCAGTGGAGGGCAGCTCCCACTGTTCGGTCTAAAGTGGGTGGCGCCTGGAGGTACAGATGATGTCCATCCCTCTATTTCAACAAGTAGTGGAGGACAAAAAGGAAGCGATGTCTACGTCCCTCTGCATTCGAACAATGAGGAGACTTCGATGCAGCTCAGCAAGCAACAGCGAGAAACAGTTCAGGCAAATCGGCAACCAGTTCAGGCAAGTCAAGCCCAGCCGGACTACATGGGGACGCGCAATTTGAAGCGTGCAGAAAACCTTTATACTCTTCCCTCTGTCGTCGAAATGCTTAAAGTTCGGCTACGCCATTACTGCACCGAGGGCAATAAACAACATAATCTCAGCTAGGGAAAACACAAACACCACACCATCATGTGGAACTGATGAGTTTTTGCCCCTTCATGCGAAAGAAGCGATTTGGTAAGGCCCAGTCCACAGCCCATGGTAGAGAAATTACATATTGCTTGCTCGGGCGGCAGCGCATGCCTGCAAGTTCAGACGGTTTTAATCTGGCAACAGTGCCAGTGAAGAGTTCGACCGTAACAGTGCCTGAAAAGGTTTCGTATTTTGTTCAAACTTCCTCCAACATGTCTTGACACTCAATATTTGCTTTGGCGACGCATGAACTGAGCCCGGCAGCTGAGCTGACGAAGGCTAGCCTTTAACATTAGCATATCGATGAAGCAAGGGATACGCTGCGCAGATGGGTGGTGCATGCTCACAGGACCACTGACAGCTATAGTGCATAGGTTGTCGCCGTCCAGCTGTGGAACCAGATGAACTTCACAGTGCTATATTGGACCCAAGGTCAACATTCACATAAAAGCAGCCTGTCGCACGGCTCTTTCGACGTGGATATACTTGCTTTGTCCGACCCAGTTGCTCGCTGAAGTGTTCCCGCATTCCGAATTCCCACGGGCAGCGACGTATCTTTTGCACCAACCGTGCATGCTTACAGCTAGCAAGCATGCGCATTGGATCACTGGGACCTCACGGGCACTCCGGAGAGCCGTTGCAGAACTTGTTTTGTAGAATTTGCACGAAGGGCTCAGACCAGGATACGTACAAAGCTAGGACTACGCAAAACTAGGACTAAGGCCAAGGTGCGAATCTGAAATGTGGTCGGCGACACAGTACCTCGACAAAATTACTTGAAGTAGTTACAGTAGTTGCAAGGGAGACTGAAAAGCGTCCAAACAGCGGAGCGCTGGGCTTTCTGCCGCAGGACGGCCTCGCCAGATCTGTTCACTTTTTGCCACGCTTCGACGCATTGTCACCGCCCCAGTGACAAACTCGGTAATTGGCCGTTTGGACCGCACAAACGAGGGGAGCATCACTGAAACTCCCGCTGCAGTACCCTACAGCATTTCCGAAGAAATAGCACAGCAGCTTCCCCAAAGGGAAGGACTGCGCCATAGGCTCTTCGTGGTGTCCTTAAACGCCTCGTCACATGTACATACTCGCGAATGAATGCCACCACGAGCTCCGGACTCCACAGACAATCCACCACCCCATGCAGCAGAAACAAAAGGCATTTCAGGGAATACAAACTGTAAAAATGCATCACAACCCCCAAGGGTCAGTTGAAACACGGATCGATTGTCCTCATCATCCTGCCTTCATTAGAAATTAATCCATATTGTTCGCAATGCAGCTTGAGCAGAATGTTAAAACAAAGCGGATAGCCTCTGAAAATATCAGTTCAGGTCTCCGTGTTCTCCTCACTAAAACTCAGAAGAACGACAGTACAGTTCTCTCATCAATTGCGGCTACCCCTTTTACTGCAACAGCTAATCGGAAGAAATGCACATAGATGCAAATCGCTCTATGGGTTTCAGCCATCAGCAAGACATATTATTCGCCTCAGATGGCATAGACTTTATCGGATGTTGAGAACAAGACCGCCCCTGGCAATTAACAGCGACGCACGTCGTACATCCCTCCACAAACAGCAGCTACAAAAGGCCTTTCAGGGAATAAAAGCTGTAGTAGTTCATCAAAACCCTAAAGGGTCAGGTGAAACACGGATCGTTTGTCCTCATCATTTCGCCTTTATTGGAAACACAGTTCATAAAGCAGCGCAATGGAGGCAGCGACCTTGCATATCAGTTCAGGTCTCCGGTGTTCTCCTCACTGATATTCTCGGAAGAACGACAGTATAGTTTTGTCATCAGCAGGAGCCATTCGCCTCTCTTTAGCACAAAGCAAGCAGTGAGCCGCCTGCAGTGTTCCGAAAGCATTGCAACTGAGAAAAAACGCGAACACATGCTTGCAGACTTCTCCCCATTTGGCAAGCTGCTGCTGAAATATTATCAGCGCAATCGTTTGTGATGTTGACGCGCTGTCAGCCCTCTCCCCTCACCATGCCTTCAGAGAGAGGTTCCTATACGGTCAGCAGGGCATAGTCTTCGCTGCAAATGGCAGAGACTGCCCCTGGTGTCAATAACGAGACCGTCTCTGTGGCAATACGCAGCGGTGTCCGTTACATCCCTCTCTGAAAGTAATGAATAATTGCCACAACCAAACAGAGGGCTTGTCAGGGAATACAAACTGTAGAAGAGCATCATAGTACCCGAAGGTCAGCTGAAACACGGATATGTCCTCATCACCTCGCCCTTAATAAGAATTTGTCAATGCGAATAGCCTTTTACCAAATCAGTTCAGGTCTCCGGTGTTCTCCTCACTGAAATACTCGGAAGAACGACAGTAAAATTTGCTCATCAGCAGGGGCTATCCGTTCACAGCGCGAGCAGTCAGCCGCGCACACACCAGCAGTGTACCGAAAGCATTGCAACTCTCTAAAAAATGTGGAGAGATGCGTTCTTCGCAAGGTTACGCTCAAATATTTCCAGTGCAACCATTTATAATGTTGACGCGCTGTCAGCCCTCTCCCCTCACCATGCTTTCAGAGAGAGGTTCCTATACGGTCAGCAGGGCATAGTCTTCGCTGCAAATGGCAGAGACTGCCCCTGGTGTCAATAACGAGACCGTCTCTGTGGCAATACGCAGCGGTGTCCATTACATCCCTCTCCGAAAGTACTGAATAATTGCCTCAACCAAACAGAGGGCTCGTCAGGGAATACAAACTGTAGAAGAGCATCATAGTACCCGAAGGTCAGCTGAAACACGGATCATATGTCCTCATCACCTCGCCCTTAATAAGAATTTGTCCACCCAATCTACAAAGTAACTCACGGGAGACAAATGAAATGCGAATAGCCTTTTACCAAATCAGTTCAGGTCTCCGGTGTTCTCCTCAATGAAATACTCGGAAGAACGACAGTAAAGTTTGCTCATCAGCAGGGGCTATCCGTTTCCCTCCACCACAGCGCGAGCAGTCAGCCGTGCACACACCAGTAGTGTACCGAAAGCAGTGCAACACTCTAAAAAGTGTGGAGATATGTGTTCTTGGGAAGGTTCCGCTCAAATATTTCCAGTCCAACCATTTATAATGTTGACGCGCTGTCAGCCCTCTCCCCTCACCATGCCTTCAGAGAGAGGTTCCTATACGGTCAGCAGGGCATAGTCTTCGCTGCAAATGGCAGAGACTGCCCCTGGTGTCAATAACGAGACCGTCTCTGTGGCAATACGCAGCGATATCCAATGCAGCTCTCTTCACAAATAATCGCATGACGATCGAAGAGAAACTGAAGGCTCGTCAGGGAATACAAACTGTACAGGTGCATCACAGTACCCGAAGGTCAGCTGAAACACGGATAGTTTGCCTTCATCATTCCGCCCTCCGTAAAAATTTGGCATTTCAAACAAGGCAGCATATGCAGTACGCCACTGCAAAGCAGATACATTCATAGACTGCCGAGGTCTCCTTAGACACTCACAAGAAAGGCAGTATAGTCTAGTCACAAGCTGGAGCTATCCGCCTCAGCCCCAAACAGGAAGACATGCACTTTGTCGAAAACGCCTCTCGTTGGCACGGGAAAGATAAGAGAAAACTGGCATGTTGACGCGCTGTCAGCCCTCTCCCCTCACCATTCCTTCAGAGAGAGGTTCCTATACGGTCAGCAACAAGGCATAGTCTTCGCTGCAGATGGCAGAGACTGTCCCTGGTGCTATAACGAGACCGTCTCTGTGGCAATACGCAGCGATAGTTCAGCAGTCCATCATAGACACTCTTCTAATTTCTGAAGTAACCACACTTGGCGCAGCTCTGAAGCAAATCCACGGCTAACGTGAAGCTACCAAAAGCACCAAAAGAAAGCAGCCTAAGACGGTCTATACTAATACATGAAAGCGATATGCTACTTTCTATTCCTCTTACACTACAGAACACTTGGCTCCCTGTCATCGTACCGAACTATGCGCTGGAAGTGCCTGCAAGCAACTCAGCTCCAAAATTTTCCGATACAAACAATCAAGGACCTGCTCAAACAAAACGGCTGTTTGAAGCTGTTGCTGTCCGTTTAAACTGCGCGGTGTTCGGGAGTGTTGTGGCTCGCGTTAACGAGGATTCTTAGACCCCCTTCGGTCCTGGAAGCGCAGTGCATTTCGTGAGGATACATGAGAGCATGCATATCACGTCTATGCTATCTGGAGACCCGCCTTCTTCCTCATTTCCGCGTCGATCAGCTTCTGTTTCTTCTCCTGTGCGTGCTGCGACTTGATGCCTAGAAGGCCACCTCCCCAACGTCTCCTGAGTTCGGAGTTGTCATTGAACATCGCGCGGTAGTTCTTGCACTGCGCCTCGAGCTCAGCTTGGTCCTGCAGGTGGAACGTCACGTGAGGCATTAGCATTCGTTATTACCAGTGAAGGTAGTGCTATTGATATGACTCCGACACACAGAAGGCGCACATGCAGCAGTCTACACTCATATTCGCGAGCAATGCGGATTCAGCGAACTTTGAAGACAGAAAATCTTTCATGGTTGCAAATGAACCAACTCAATGAGTAGAGAGATCATCATTTCCCGCAGCGCTCGAATGAGCATCTTGACACGCACAGCGAGCATGTAAAGATGCAGGTAGCTCAAAAAGCAGCAATAATGAAGAAAAACACATGCACACACATGCAAAGCCCAACTTGTCAGTTGAAGACGATTATTTATATGCCGATGTCATTGCAGGGAATACCCCGCTTCTCAAAAAATATAATGTCATCCCTCGGGCATTACTGATGAAGCACTCAAGAGAGCGAGCCGACCATAGGAAAAAAAAAAGAAAGTAAGCAAGTCCTGAAGGCAAATCATCATGTCCCCCAGAGCTCAAATGAGCCTCTTGACACGCACAGCGAGCATGTAAAGATGCAGTTAGCTCATAAAGCAGCAATAATTAAGAAAAAAACATGCACACACATGCAAAGCCCAACTTGTCAGTTGAAGACGATTATTTATATGCCGATGTCATTGCAGGGAATACCCCGCTTCTCAAGAAATATAATGTCATCCCTCGGGCATTACTGATCAAGCACTAAAGACAGAGAGCCGATCATTGGGGAAAAAAAGAAAATGAGCAAATCCTGAAGGCAAGCGCCGGTTTTTCTCAGCTGAAGACGATTATTTTGCGTGAACCTCATCGCGACACAGTCGCTGGTCAACGATTGAAGCGCTCATCCCTAAGCCGGCGTCTTGCATGCATGCAAAGATGCACATAGAGAAACTCTGAATCCAAAGAATGAACTGAAATATATGCATACGAAGTACAGATACATGCATAGGCCTACCTCCTTTCTGACGGCGTCTACCGCTATGACTGCACACGTCTTCTTGTGTACAAGTTGCCCCAGTCGAGCCTTGCCCTTGACAATGCAGTAGGGCACGTCTTTCTTCCTGCACAGGGCAGGGAGCCAGCAGACAAGATCGATGGGAACGACATCGTGCGCAATGACAACAAGCTTGGCCTTCTTGATCTCGATCAAATCCGTGACATGGTTGAGACCGAACTTCAGCATCACTGGCTTCTTGCTGGTAGCCTGAGCACCGCTTGACTGCTTCTCTCCCTCAGCTATAAGACGGGCCTTCTTCTCCCCCCGAGTTTCCGGCTTGTACTTCGCCAGAAGGCGCAGCAGCTGGCCAGTCTGCAAAAATAGACCCAAAAATGCACCACACACCGCAGAATATTGCACTAAAATGCATAATATACTGCAGAATGCTGCACACACGCGCTGCTGCGATTACATAATGATGCCCCGTTTCAACAAACACCCTTACCTGGTTCTTGTCGAGTGTGTGGGTGAACTGGTTGATCGCAGGAGGCACCTTCAGCCTCTGCATCAAAACCCTCCTCTGGCGCTGAAGGAGAACATACTTGGGCCACTTCACAAACCTAAACGCAGCACACATCACTAAAAAAACATGAGACAAAAGGCCGCAAGCCACCACTATAGCAAGCAGTTCGCCTCACCTTGTTAGTTCGCGGCGAGGCTGGATGCTGCAGCCAATGCGGAAGTTGCGAGGAGTCTTCTGGAAGATCAGCGACTTGGTCGTCTTCTTCGCATTCTTCGCCGACGTCGGATCTGACGGAAGCTTCTTCTTAGATGACCCCGAAGCACCCTTCTTTGCAGCCGGCGCCTGCAGGAAACGTTCAACAGTCACTTAGGACTGCTGAAACATAAAAGAATGCCCCAACACTTCCCAAGTGCAGCCAACATGGGATCTGCACCGAGAACGGGGCACTGCAACAAGGCAACCGTCAAGCGAGGGAAGCAAATACTAGTGAGCAGCGGGAACCTCCTAGTTGCACTAGAACTTGATATTTCAGCAACAATCAGTGCAAATAATGGTGAGGTATATCTACACATGGCGGCGGCCGAACAGCTTAACCGCAGTCGCATCGGGGCCTTCCCCATCATGAGCCGCAGCTCCCACGACGCATGGAGCTTCAATTTTGAATTGATACACGAAAAGTAGAAAATGTGAGCAAAACTATGCACCACGGGGCGCTTAGCAATGCAGCAACTTCCTCAGCTGAAGAGCTACAATTGTGGGGTAGGCGCCAGGGGAGAGGGCTGCACGACGACCCACCATTGTGCCTACGTTTCGAGAGGCCGGCCTTGGTTACGGGGGAAAAGAGAGTCTTACTTCCTTAAGACAAGTTCTACCCAGTTTGCCCTTGTTCATCGGCGGGGCATGAGCGCATGAAGCTGATGCTGCCTGCAAGCCTAGCGCAGCAGCTTCATCCTCTGGCCCCAGCCTTGCATGCAGCCACAGCACTCCCCACACCGACGAAGCCGGCTGTTCGTCCTTTCCTCCGAGAGAAAACGAGAACCTTGGCTAAATGCGCTTCAATATTTAGCCGAACTTCACTTTAGTACATATATTGTGAGCAACTGCCACCATGTCCGCTGTAGAGAGGTTCGACTCACCACGCAGGAAGGTCTCCAAGACATGATACACAAACAGCCTCGTCGTTTACAAAGCCCAAAAAGAGATCTGTGCCATTAAATTCAAAAATAAATAAAAGCTCGACATAAAGGACAAAAGTACACCTCGGCTCTTCATTCTTAGTTCAGTGTAGACTTATGGTTAGACGCTCCGGTGAATTCATTTCAAATGCATTCATGCGTTGCAAATGAATTCACGCGTTATTCAAGAAAGGATATGGCATCTTCCCTCGTGCGAGGGTGCGTGATTTCCGGTCGTTGCTTTGTAATTTTTTGTATAAGTCGCGTTTCAGTAGGTGTGTGAGGGTCTAGGGATCCAAACACTAGTAGGTACAGCGTTCAGTGCAACGTCGGAAAAATTTAAGAGAAATTATTTTACAAAAGGGACACTGCATAGCCGGTGTTAAGGGCCAATGGTCACTTCAGAGCAGAGGGAAAGGTGGAGGCCTTGGAGGAGCAACAACACAAAAGGATTTCAGGTTTGTCGCCACGTTCATTAATGTCACTTCTGGCTGCGTACAGGCCCTCGAAAGCTGCGTACATCTTCAGTTTTCAACACTTTTGTGCGCAGAACGGTCACTAGAATGGTTGTGACGGCGGTTGCAGCATTTGCGCATCTGACGACCCTCTAGCTTTCTCAGCAGCTAGTGTTGGATTTGGAGTCAGGGTGTTACTCCAAGCGTCAAGTACTCCAAGCCAGTTCCTCTCGAGTCCGTTTCTGTATAACAGACAAAATGCTTGAGGGTTTAAATTATTCTTCTTGCTGGATCAAATGCTTGACCCGATCATTCCTGTATGGAGAGGCCAACAGGAGCTGCTTCCCCTCACAGATGTAGACTCCAGTTCAAGACTCAACTAGTGACTCTTCAGGACATTATTCAAAGAACTGTGTACCAGTTTAGGCGGCTGAACTCATTGGTAACTCGTTATTACAAGACTTTAAGGGCGTTCTGCTGCTACTGCCTGTGCCACGTTTTGCTGCGGAAGACGCCGCCCTCAGAAGGAGAGGAATACCTTGTGTATTTGGTTCTCTTATCGCTGTAATATTGTCTTCCGTTCAACTGTGCACTGTGATAGCTATTGTGCGTTCTTTTGGTGTTGTCGGCAGCTGGTTTTCAAATACCGTAGGTATCAATAGTGCTGCAGTAAAATGGGGTGCTCACCAAGTACACGTGCAACCGGTTGCCATGACAACGCTTCTATTTGGATACACTTTACAGTTCTTCCACTTTTGATAGCGCTGAGCCGCCTGGTACTGAGTGAAGAATAACTGCGTAGTGCTGGGTCGTCAGTACTCGCCTTTAGTCATCAATTCCAAGCACATCTGTACGTGCAGCGCCTGCACGAGTTGAGCCAACCCATCATGCGCACAGAAAGCTTATACCACTGGATAGTCAACACACAGTGAACTGAAGAAAACGCGTCGCAAAGCAAAGAAGTACACTTTGCCTGCGACTTACTGTGTCTGGAGAAAATTTAGCAGAAGACATCCAATGATGTCATTCCGGAAACCAGCACTATTCCGTTTCTTTCGAATTTTAATGCGTATGGATGTCCCTACTAGAGCTTAGATTGCGGTATACACGCGCCAAACTCATGAGCTTCACATTCGTTAGTGGTTGGGGGACACAACACACCAACACAAATAGCTTTGGAGCCGAATGCCTTTCCGTTGTTTTACTGTGGCAACTAAAGCATCGGGAGAAAATGCTTTGACCAAGCAACACCTCCAGAATCTTCAGATTGATCTCTACAATATCTGCAGAAGTCACTCGATAAAATGGCATACGGCTTCAAAGCCATCAGTCTCAGATGTCGGTAGCAAATGCTAAGCTTATGACGCTTGCATGCGGCAAGCTAAGCTCCGTTACTGGTTCCAAAGTGGTGGGAAAAATCCAGCAAACAGTGTATGCCGTTTCTGCCTTGGGGAACTAGCGACTGAAAGCTCCTCATGATTTCGAAATCGTTCTGTTATATCTCCAGCCTACAGTGTATTCTGTTTCTGCCGCGGAGCACTAGCGAGTATAAGCCCTTCATTATGACTTGAAAAAGTGCCTTGTTATGTCTTCAGCCTACAAAATGAAGAGAAACTGTTTCAAAACCCTTCGGGACTCAAAAAGAAACGCTGCAATGCAGGTTGCAAGTTCTGAACAATTCGCGGCCGCCTTTATCGTCTTGGCAGAAACAAGAGACGCTGTCACTGTGGTCTATATATAACTATACAGGAAGACGAGCTCAGTTGGCAGTTGCTGCTGCGACAAATGCAAATTCGCGCATCGCAACTGCAGTGTGGATGAACGCGCAGCAAGGCGGCCACCGTCACTTCTTCGCAGGCTTTGTGAATTCACTCATCACCACTTCTGCCTTTCCGTCTCGTTCTTCGTAGATGTACAGCACCACAGAGGCCCCCTGCAGCGCCATGAGCATGAAGCTCGGGGTGGGCGAGGGGGCCCACGGCTGGTAAGCGCCAGTGGCAGAGCCCGGGTTAATGAAGAAACACCCCTCGACTTCCCGCACAGAGTTACTGTGCGTGTGGCCTGAAACAATTATGTCGCAGTCCAGCCGCCGCTGCCACTGCAGCAGCGCGTCTGCGTCGCCCCAGGGCACGACTTGGTGGCCGTGCAGCAACGCCACTTTGAATTCCCCTGAAAGCAAACACTCTGGCGACTTCAAAAGATGAAAAACAACGAAAAAACAAACTAAAATGCAGCATTAAACAGAAAACAAGGGCCCGCTCTGCTTGTCAAAGCCTGTGTTTCTTTCAACTGCGAAAGTTGAATCAAAGTGGCGGCGCAACGGCAAGATCGTCAGCCACCCACCAAACTGCAGTATTTTGTACTCCGGGAAGTCAAGGCCTTCGTCCATATCGCCCTTCACTATGTGGACAGATCCAGCAATGCCCCTCAGGAAGTCGAGAATAAGACCATTTCCGACGTTTCCAGTGCACAAGACGTGGCGGATCTTGTCAGTGTGCAGCAGCTCCCTGAAGCAGGGGGGAAGGTCCACTGCCCTCTGCGGAACGTGAAAGTCCCCGATAATCAACACCAAGTCACCGAAATCGGTGAAGTTCCCAGCCATCCTCGCACTGAAAAGCTGGGCGATTCCTGTTGCTGCCTTCTAGCCTTTACTTTGTGGAATTTGAACCTGGTCCTGTTCTCAGGGCCGCTGAGACGCCCCCTTCAAATGCCCCTGTCAGTTGTTTATAGGCCTGTTTGCACTCGCAAGCTCAATACCATTTACCCGACTCAGGCGAAAGGAATGCCGATCCAAACTGTGTCACTTCAATTCCCCGTGTTCAGCCCTGAAGACAATCCCGCGGCAAGTCCGGCTTCGTGTGCAGAAGTCAACTTCCGGGCCTGGGGAGGCAGCAAGTTAGTCTCGCGCTCAATGCGATGCAACTTTTCAAAAAGGATTTCGGACGCAGCGGACGCGGCTTCCCCGCTTTTCAAGTTCCGTGAGGCGACAAGTCCTCGGTGTCTCAGGAAGCAACACAAACAGAAAAAACGCCTTGGAATGCATTCACACACACGAGCAGCAGCATGCAATCCCAATAAGGCGCAGGCATGAGACAAACTTCTCTTGTTTCGCCTGCTCAACTCCGTGTAAGGAAGCTTCGCTGGGAGACATGCGCTGCGCTAGTTTAGACACAGGAGCGCCGACTTCTAGCGGCAAACCAGGGGAAAGCACAACGCTGGAAGGTCAACCTTTGTCGAAAACTCAAAGGTCCTTTCCTCAGGAACGCCGCAGGTTCTGTCTGAGTAATCTGGCCGGCTGCCAAGCTGTGTCAGTTGTAATTAACGGCCACCTGCCCCCGCGGCCCCTTTCTGCTGCTGCTGGATTCAATTTGACCAGAGAACGCCATATATGTATCAAATCAACAAAACATTGAGGAACAAGAAGTGGAAAACGCAGTCGCGAATGCGCAGCAGCCCTGTTGCCCAGAGTTGCTCTTGGGACAGCTGCGAAGGAATACCTAACCCCACTCTAGAGCGCTCAGCTTGAAAGAGCCATTGCTTCACGAGTTTATTTTCAGTGATTTTATTTTAATTAGCAGAAAAACGCAACAATTCCCTAATTCCTCCGCTATCAAACTGCAGCAGCCTGCCTCCCCTCTGCTGTCCGCGCGGCTGCAGCTCCCCCGCGCCTCTCCTGGCCGCAGCACTGCAGCCGTGATCAGCCATTCGTAGCATCGTCATAAATAGCCGCGTCCTTGAAATAGTTTCTGAAGTTCGCCATTATACGCTTTCGTCTTGTCTTGAAGATGCCCAGACAACGCAGCAGTTCCGGCGCGCGCCGATCTTCTTCAGGTGGAGGCTTCTGTGCGTTCAAAGCATTTCCCTCTTCCTCTGAGGGACGGGAGGGCCTTTTATGGCTCTTTTGTACTTTTTGTTGCATTTAAATACTTCTTGATTGCAGTTGTCGCTTTTGTGGCCCGCAGTTTGGCCGCTTGCGCCTTCGAAGGCGTTCCTTGCTTTCTGTCGCTGCATGCGCTGCATCATCTTTCGTTTTTCTCCCCCAATTGCGAGCCTTCACTGATGAACTTAGAATTAATTTATATATCTTGGAATGCTGTTTATGGCTGGGACACAAGCGAGTTCCTAGCCGCAGCGCTGCATTTCCACTGAGTGACCACCGCTGCGTCGATGTAGTTGGACTCTGGCGTTTTCGGCGTTTTCACTTGGAAAGCTCGTCGCTGCATGCCGTTGCGACGCATTAATCTCCTGCTGCAGAGGCTGCATGCATTCAATACTGCAATTTGCGTTTAATTGGGACCTTTTGGGTCATTTTGCGTGTCTTTTTGCTGCAGTTGGGTCTCGTTCTGCGCGCCCCGCGGCGCCCGCGCCCGTGGCCGCGCCCCCGAGCCCCCCCCCCATGGCCAGCAGCAGCGGCGGCGGAGGCTTCATGGCCAACATGGTGGGAAATGTGGCGAGTGGAATGGCCTCGGGAGTGGGCTTTGGCGTGGCCCAGAGGGCCGTGGACGCAGTCATGGGCCCGCGCTCTATGGAAGTTGTGCACACGAACACAGCGCCTGCGGCCGCCGCGCCGCAGCAGCCGATGCAGCTGGGGGCGCAGCAGCAAAACCCCTGCGCAGCTTACCAGGAAGAACTTAACCAGGTATTTTTCTTTTGGTATTTTTCTTTTTTAATTTATTTCTTTTTTAATTTATTTCTTTTCAACCGAAGTGCATTGCAGCCAACGCGCAGCGCGCGGGACGGCGACAGGCAGCGGTCTGGCGTTTGCTTGTTAGCTGCATGTACACCGGGCTTCTTTTTCTTCAAAGTGCACTCTAGGCGCATTAAATTGTTCTTTTTTTGCCGTGCTTTTATATTACATTAAATAAAGTTGTGGCCTGCAAAGAAGAAGCAGTTTGGTGGCTGTGTTGGTTGTTTTTGGCGCAGTGCATGACCCGCCACACGGACATCACTCTTTGCCAGAACTACCTGGACAACCTGAAGGCGTGTCAGACCACTATGAACAGGACCTAAATTGCCACTTCTCCCAAAATGTAGCTGTTTGCCAGCGCTGTTGTGCAAATCTATGAGCGCAGCAGCCCCGAGTTCGCCTGCTGGGGCCACACTCAAGCTAGTGGTGTGCAGTAATCACAGAAATCCGTGACAGCCATTTGGTCCTTGTTCTGACTGACAGACAACATCAATTGCGAGTGCCTCTCGAGCACAGCTACAGTTCATGAATTCAAAACTAGTGTTGCGCATTGCAGCTCTTGCTGGCTGAAGCAACCGAGTGTACATCCAGCTCGGACTAGCTTTGCCATAGTTGCTCTAGTTAGGGACAAACACTTAGTGTAGCCACAGGCAGAAGAAGGCTGACGGAAAAAAGGGCGTTGGGTCTAAAGTGGATCGAAACAAAAAGGAAAGTGGTAGTCACGTGCTAGCTGGCAGGCTCTGAGTCCAGCAGTTTGCAAATGCAGGTAAGAGAGAGCCGCCCGTAGAGCCCCGAGCTCGCCGTGAGGTGTCAGTGAAAAATGCCAAGAGGCAGCTCGCCGCGTCAACTCTGCATGTACTCCGCAATGGAAGTGCAGAAGAAACGGCGGACCCTCTCGAGGACTCCGAGGCGGGCGTTGGCTCGCGAGGCAGAAGGCACTGTTTCCCTCACTCTCACTGCATCTTCTGCAACTTTGTAAGTTATTGGCAACGGATAAGTGGCAGTGGAAGGGTCCCAGGGGTTCATGGTGGATCCAATGTAGGAGCTGGTCCCGGCGGAGGTGACCACTCGCCACTGCAGCAGGAAAGCGCGCAAGTTGCTGAGAAATGGGCTTTCTGGGAGGCAAAAATGCTGAATTAATCCCGAAAATGCAAAATAAATTCACTTTTTTGAACAAAAATCGCGCAATTTCAAGAAACTCATGCAGTCCTGAGCTGCTGCCACTGACCTGTCCTTGAAACGCCACAAAGGTTTCAGTGGAGGGCAGTGTTTCGTGCGCGGGCAGATTCTCGTCGTTGGCCCGGAGCAGTCCTGGAAAGCAGAAGTTGAATGCGGAAAGCAGCTGCGTGTTGGTTGAAATGTTTTGCTTTTTGAATTATTTTATGTTTTCCAAAGAGATTAAAATGCTAATTTAGCTGTTTTGCACGCTCACCGTGGAATATCTCGGGGCCGTCGATCTTGATCCGCGGCTTCAGCCACGAAGACGGCGGCTGCTCCACAGTCACATCCTGCAGGCCACTTATGGTGTAAGCGTAAGGAGCAGTTTGAATTGGTGGGACTTCTGAGGGTGGTCTGGGGAGCTGCTGCTGAGGGAGTGTGAGCTGCGGCACGGGCGGCGGGCTGTGCTGCTTCACACTTGGCTGCTGCTGCTGCTGCTGCTGCTGCTGCGGCTGCGGCTGAGCATCACTGTCTTGGCGTTCGTCATCGCTCGGGTAGGCACCAGAGCTGGGATATTCATCTTCGCTGCTGCAGCAAACGGTGGACTGGCCAGCCTCTTCGACGGCTGCAGTCGAGTCGCCAGCAACTGGCTTCTTCGCGTCAGGCTCCACTGCTGAAGCTTCCCGGAGCGCATTAGCAACGCTGCAAGGGGACACAGCTTCCATTTTCAATTAGTTTGCAATTTGCAAACTAGAAATGCTTCTTGGAATTGACAGATGGGTGTCGGCTCCGCGCTTTCTCCTGGGATGCAGCAGGTGGGTTCTGGTGTTGGGTTTGATCTGACGCTGCGGGCAGCGCTGCAGATACAGAATTTGTCTACCGCACGGCAAATAAGGCTTTCACTCAAAATTTAATGAATAGTAATAAGGAAGGGTGTAAGACGATCGTGGTGCTCCCGTCGTAAGTGCAGGAAAGAATCGACCAGCAGTGCCCTCTTTTCGGCTGCAGCAGGCTAGCTAATGCGCATGTGGTCTGCCGCCTGCCTTCCTCACGAGCTCTTCCCCATTTCGTAATAAAACGACCAAATGAAAGCAGAATTTCTGCAGAAGAAAACCCTTTTGCTTCTACGGTGGATCAGTGAGCCGCTTCCGAGTGCTCACAGCGAGCCACTGGCGACCACTGGCCCGCAGCCGCACTATTCCTCCTTCCGGTGTAGGCCACAGATGGCGGATCTTTAGTCTTTAGAGAGGTCAACACTTTCATAAAATATTATGCTTTTGATGTAGTTTGAAATTACCCGGCGTTTCTGCTCCCCAATTGCTGGCCACCGTCAATTCTTCAATGGGAGTGAAGTGCAGCCGAAGACCAATGTTTGGCGCACGGCATTTTTGCTCTGGCGGAGTGGGATTTGGGAACTGTATGGAAAAAGAGGCTTGCAAATTCAAATTTTAATACTTATTTTCCCTTCAAGAATTCACTGGACAGTCACAACACTCAGCTGCAGCAACTGTCCAGCTTGGTCGCTGTAGGCAGCACGCCAGTGCAGAGTTATCTTCGAGAGTTATAAAGTATACTCGCGTTCTATGTATGGATGCTTTAGCTCTTCTCTATAGATTAGTGTGTTACTATTCTCTCAGATCTCTGATTTAAGTGCTGCTTTAATCAAACACTGCATCTTTTGGCATTCCCTCGTTCAAACTCTGTGAAATACGAGCTGTTTCCTTGGTTGGTTAGCTTATTTGCCTCCTTTGCAAACTCTCTTAGCACTCGCAGAAAAGCCCACGATATTATAGAAGGGCAGTTGCGGGTTTTCCTGCCCCGTTTTGAAGTGCCTTTTGGCATCTTTTGATTGCGTGAGGCCCTCTGGAGCGTTGCCTAATTCAACATTTTTACTTTTGCATTTCTGTATTCTGTTCTCCACCATCGAAACGCTTAATGCCCCCCTCGCTGAACTGTTCCTGCAGTTCTGGGCAGTACAACGGAGCCTGAAAGTCAGCTAGTTGGTGTTGATTTTCTTGAATTTGACTCAAGTTTCGCCTAAGACAAAACTAATATACAAATCGGCTTCAAAAGGCATACTTTTAAGATTAAATAGATCCTTGAGCTCTGCCTTTAAGCATGGTTTCTTGAGCTGGCAGCGGCCCTGTAGCTATCCAGGCTCTATGCAATCAAGCACTTCCAAGAAAGTCCACCACTCTTTCGGGGCCTTTCAGAAGCATCAGTCCATCTAAACTAATTGTTTTGCTTTATATAACGTTTATATTACTTAAGAAACGTGTAGAATGTTTCTAAGATAGCTAGCTACAGAGAGCTAAGTGTAGGAGCTCAGCTTGCAAGCTGGGCTTGGCGCACCCAAGTGGAAAATGTTTTATGAAATATAAACTGTCCAGTACGACCCATTCAAAAACTAATTTTGTGCAAAGTACCTTCCGGTAAATTGGAGGAAAACGTGTACCAAGGTACTTCCTGGGATAGCAGCTAGGGGTCACATTTCATTTCAGTTGGCCACGAAAGCATCAAGAAATCTCCACTGAAAAGCTTGGGATGTTTCCAGGATCAAACTATAATGGATTTCCTTTATAAAGAGCATCCAGAGACACAAAAGACAGCTAGAAAATGAAGAAAGAAGAAGTTTCACTTGGAGGAAATATTGAAGTTCTGTGGGAGACGAAACCGCACGACTGCTCCCCGATTTTCAGCAGCTAAGGCATAACCACTAACTAGTCATATTTCGCGCAGCAACTGACAGCCAATCTGAAGCAGATGTGGAAAACTTTGAAGCCAGAGTCTTTAAATCTGGCAGTTTGGGCTCCTCGGAAACGCCTGGAACAAGAGAATAGAAGCACCACCAGGACACCCCTAGTTCAAAATGAAATCCACTTCTTTAATATGGGCTGGGCTCTAGGCTATAGGGCTGGAAGGTGGTTGGGCTCGCAACAGGGCATGCACTACGGGAAGGAATATATCTCGAGATAAGCAACTTCGAGCTGGTGAAGCAGCGGCTCTATAGCAGCTCCTGCGCCCTTTTCTGAACTAAAATGTTAAAAATACTGGCTAAAATGTGTATATTATCTTTGAAGCATCTTTAGAAGATTCAGAAGCTACCTAGGAACTTCACATCTTCCGAGCTGGGAACATCCCATAGAGTATATTCAAGTATTCGTATTCCCAGACCCCTCAAGCTGCTGCGTTCCCCCCGCCCTCCAATCCAAACTCTCAAACAATTATTATACACTAACTTTATTTTAATCTTTTAATTCTTTTGCAGCAAAGAAAAGACTCATTGCCGCGGTTCGAGGGGAAGGCGTCGCACCGCCAGCTAGTTCTGTGACACAGAGGCCATTTCTGCTTTCCTTTTCGCACTTGCAACAAGAGTATTCATGTGTCGAAATGTCAGAAAGATGATTTAGTTTGTAATGAGTTCGGACTAATTTGAAAAGGGCACAGAATGGCAGCTTTCCAGAGTACTTTTCCGACACCCACGCACGAGTTTTCATTCCGCTTTCTGTCTTAGGCTTCATCAAATGCTTTATGATGAATCACACTGTACTTTATACCCCTCAAATAAAGCTTGGAAATATCCCGAACTATCCTAGTTACAAAATGAACAACTCAGGGTCACCACCCCCGGCTTCCAGCGATGTTCCCAGACAAAGGCTCTCACTCGAGGACCCTGGTGACCCCTACAGCAAATTCAAGTTAGACATTAGTTCAAAAATGCCATTAAAGTTGCATTAGTGGCCCCATTTGCGAACTGAGCTGCTTGTAAGAGGCATGTTTCTCTTTGCCTGTGGCATGTTTCTCAGCCATTCCATTTAGACATTGCTTGCTGTTCCTAGGCCACAAAATAAACGGACTTAAAGCCCATAAAGAAACCTATTATTTTGTCAGAGTCAGCTTTTTGTGCCCTTGGAGCCAGTTCGGGAGGGTCCCAAGCTTTTGCCTTCCAGAAGCCCAGTGTCCAAGACAAGGAAGGGCTAGCGGCTTCCAGTGCTGGCACCAGACACTGCCTTTTGTCTTTCTTTAGTGCCAAGAAGCGCTAAAAGTACTTTTAAGGAAATAATGCAAAAGATTTGACCGCTAGGGCCCTGCACTCGGCTGCACCCGATGCAGGCCCCTCCAGCCTCCAGCCCGCGTGGCCATACTACGGTATGCTGGGGCAGCCCGGCCTGAACTTGGCAGAAAGCGGCTCAAATATTAACTGTTTTGCCTATTGCTGCACACTCTATACGAATTTGAACTGTTTGATTCGCCCAACTGCGCAGTTCAAGCCTGCGACTGCAGGGGAAGCTCAAGTTCAGTGCCTTCTGTCCAGTGCACCCGCTGCGAAGGAGGCCTACTCAAGAGTTACGCAGTCCAGCAAAGCTAAATATATAAGAGAAACAGTGCGTGGCGGGACAGTTGCGGTGAAGGCGCATGCAAGCAGGGGGCAGTGCAAACTAGAGAGGCGGTTCGCCGCGGGCGGTGCTCTTCAGCCCGCCTGACACGGCAGCAGCTGGAACAAATCCGAAAAAAGCAACTAGGAAGTGTTGGTCGAGTTATTTGTCGATAAGATCTGGAGAAAAGAAGAGATGGGGAGGCTGGGTGACTGGGGTTTGGCGAGGTAACCGCTGCATGCGGCTGGTGTAGGCGCGCAGGGCAAATTGGTGCGGTGTGGCCGCGGCGCGGCGCGGAGCGGGAGAGTTTGTCTACTGGCCAGTTAGAGAAAAGAGAAAAGATAGTTTTAAAGGATTAAAGAGATTTATCTATCTTGGTGGAGGCGAACGCGGGGGAGAAGCTGCGCGGGCACGAGATGCGCTGCTGCAGGCAACAGCCACCGCAGCTGCTGAGTTCAGGGGTGGGGGGCGCGCCACAGCACACGTTGTGCGTTCAAGTCCAACTACGGGAGTTCAGTGACTGGCGGATCGTTTTCTTTTGTCCTTTTGCACGGAGTTTTGCGTTGATCGCGACGTTTACGGCTGTAATGCTGGCCCGCATGCTGATGGACAGGGCAGCAAGTTTCCGCGCGCCGCCCGCAGCAACGCTCTCAGCAGGGGAGTGTATCGCCCGCTATTCGCCCCCCCGAATGGCCCAACAGCCTTCTTTTCGTCTTATTAATCCCTTAAATCTCGTTTGCAGATGACAGGGGCGCGGCCAGTGGCTGCTGCAGACGCTGCGATTCCGCCGAGCACCCGAGCAACTGCCTAGCCTGCCTGCAGCTGCTGCTGCTGCTGCTGCTGCTGCTGCTGCTTCCGCCGCTCTTTCGCGCCAACTCGAGACTTTTCCCGCAGCTTTTCCAAAATGCAGTACGTCAACATCCCGCGGGACCGCGAAGACCCCAACTACCGCTACAAAATGCCCAAGTTGCTCTCCAAGATCGAGGGCCGCGGCAACGGCATTCGCACCAACGTCTACAACATGGGCGAAATTGCCCGCGCTCTCAAAAGACCCCCCATGTACCCCACCAAGTTCTTCGGCTGCGAGTTGGGCGCGATGGTCAAGTTCGAAGAAAACGAGGAAAAGGCCCTCATCAACGGCGCCCACAGCGAGGAGGACCTCGTCGCCATTCTCGACAAGTCAGATCCTGCTGCTGCTGCTGCAAGGCTGCTGCTGCTGCAAGGCTGCTGCTGCAAGGCTGCTGCAAGGCGGCTGCTGCTGCTGCAAGGCGGCTGCTGCTGCTGCAAGGCTGCTGCTGCAAGGCTGCTGCAAGGCTGCTGCTGCTGCTGCAAGGCTGCTGCAAGGCTGCTGCAAGGGTGCTGCTGCTGCTACTGCTGCTGCTGCTGCTGCTGCTGGTGGTGGTGGTTGGGGCGGCGCAGGGGCCGCGCGGGAGAGCGGCGGGCGGCGGGCCCAGAGCTGCTGCTGCTGCTGCTGCTGCTGCTGCTGTGCAGGTTCATTCAAATGTACGTGCTGTGCGGGGGCTGCGACTTGCCGGAAATTGACATAACTGTGAAGAAAGGAGTTTTGGTTTGCAAATGCAACGCCTGCGGCTACTCGGGGACTCTGGACAATACTCACAAGGCGGCGACTTACATGGCGAAGAATCCGCCAAATGCGACTGAGACCACTCTGGGGAAGAAGAAGAAGACCAAGGAGGAGCGCAGGGCCGAGAAACTCGCCAAAGAAGAAGACAAGTCCGAAAAAACTTCCAAGGAAAAGAAAAACAAAGACAAAGACAAAAAAAAGAAAAAAGGAGAAGAGGAAAACGACACCGACGGCCTCAACTCCAAAGCCGTGGACCACTCCGGCGACGCGACCCCGACCAACGCCGGTGAGTCTGCTGGCTCGATTTTAATTGTTAATTGCGGAAACTTTGATTATTTGAATTGAAAATAGATTATTTGAATTAAAAATAGATTATTTGAATTAATTTCGAGTTTGTTTCGTCGAAATAGACGCAAGTGGCTCGCGATCTGACGCGTTCAGGCGAAGACAGCTGGGACGAGGAGAAGTCCTCGGAGGCGGACAAAAAGGAAAAAAAGAAAAAGGAAAAGAAACACGCCAATGCAGAAGGGCCTAAGTTGGTGGTTAAGGAAGCACTGACAATAAATTGTCCGGAAATAGCCGAAGTCGCCGCGCGACTTCGCAACATGATTGGCACTTCTTCGGCGGTGACTCCCGACAGTTTTTTCGTTGAACTCCGGATGCTGCAGGTTTCCCAGGACTTCGACGCCAAGGTGGGCTTTTCGCAGTCCCAGAAATTGAATTTAAATATTAAATTGCATTAAATTGCATTTCAAACAATTAAATGGCTTTTAAACAGTTAAATAGTGCAGCGGACAACTGACACTCCAGCGATTCACGTTTGCTCACGCAGCCTGCATTTCAGCTTTCCGGTTTCTGCAAAAGCCCGTTTTTGCTCCTTTTTTCGCGGAATCTTCGCTGATTTGCAAACAAATAAACAAATTTGCGGAAAATCTTCGCTGATTTGCAAATAAAAGGCGAAATTTGCGAAGAAAGATCGAAGAGATCCTCGCGGAAAGCGGACTTGCAAAGCTGGGTGGGTGTGTGCGCAGTGCCGGATGTACGTGGTGCTGAGCGCGCTGTTCAAGGACGGGCTGAGTCCGGAGTTGCTGGAGGAGAAAATGGCATTTGTGGCGAAGTGCTGCGACTCTTCAGTGCATGCAGAAGATATATTATCGGCTTTGGAGAACTTTTGCTTCGAAAATGCCCTCACTGACATGGCCAGCTTCCCCTACCTGCTGCAGCGCCTCTACAACGCAGAACTCCTCGAGCCCGAAGACATCCTCGCTTACTACGACAGCCCCCGCGCCGACGCCGCCACGCAGAAGTGCAGAGCCTTTGCGGAGCCCTTCTTGAAGTGGCTGGCCGAGGCGGACTCCAGCGACGAGGAGTGAAGCTGCTGCAGCAGCAGCAGCAGCAGCAGCGGCTGCAGCAGCAGCAGCAGCAGCAGCGGCGGCTGCAGCAGCGGCTGCTGCAGCGGGTGGGGCCGGCGATCGCGCGTGTTGTCTTTTTGCGATCTCGGGAGGCTTGTGTCCGGGGCAATTGAATTTGCTGCTGCTGCTGCAGCTGCTGCAGCAGAAGGCGCCTGGGGAGCAGCAGGAAGCAGCAGAGGCCTGTGCAGATCTCTTCGAAATGCTTTCATTTCGAAAACAGAAAAGTTTTATTTCGCTGCTGCTGCTGCTGCGCAGCAGCAGCAGCGAGAGGCCCCCGGTGTCACTGGAGGCCCTCAGCAGCCCTGCGGGCGCCGGGGGTCGCCACTTCACTTGAACAACAGCCGTTCCTTATGATTAAGAGTTCCAAGTTGAAAGCTAAGTGGAAATAAATAAATAATTATAATTTTAATTGTAGTTAATTCTAAAAATGGCGAAGATTGGAAGAGTTCTGTTGCTCCTAGGGTTTGGAGAGAGTCGCTGCAGCCGTCTGTAGCTGCTGAGGTCTTTGCGCGCAGCAGGCCGCCAGGGTTTAGGGTTTAGGGTTTAGGGTTTAGGGTTTAGGGTTTGCGCTTAGGCGTTGTAGGTGCTGCTGCACTGCAGCAGCAGCGCCATTGAGGGTGGCATGTGCAGCGTGACGAGCCCTTGGGGCTGCAGCGGGAGGAAGGATGTTTCTGCTGCTGCGGTTGCTGCTGCTGCTGCTGCTGCCAAAGACTTGTTTGCTGCTGCTGCAGCGAGCGCCTCCAGCTGCTGCCGCGTCTCTGCTGCAACAGCTGCCAGCACTGCAGGGGCGGAGGGCTGGTTTGCAAGTTGGAGGAGCTGCAGCAGCGCAAATAAACGCGAAAGTGGAAGCAATTGCAGAATTAATAATGCCATTTAATTGAATTATTTCAAAGAATTTATTTCAAAGAATTAATAATGCCATTTAAATAATTTATTTCAAAGAACCAATAATGCCATTTAATTGATTCGTTTTCTTTCCGAAACGGCCCTCACCAGCTCATTCAGTGCAACATCCCAGTGCGTCGCCGCGCAGGCCTGCGCAGCAGCAGCAGCAAAAGACTTTTTTCTGATTTTAATTTGTGGCGATTTTTCTTTTGGACTTGCTTTGGAGTAGCAGCTGGGGTGTACAGACAGCAGGGCTTTGTGGAGAACGCAGAAAAGCGCCACCAAGTTGTCAGTTTCGCATTCTTTGAAGTCCGCGCCGAGCAGAGTGGAACAGATCGCCGAGATGCCTGCGCATGCGTCGGAATTTATGAATTAAATAACAATTAAATAACATTTAAATAACATTTAAATAATATTTTAAACATTTATTCTGCACAAGTGCAACTCGATCGCTGCTAATCGGCGCTGCTGTGCAAGTCCGATTCTGCACGCCGCCGCCCGATCTCACCCAGAGCTCCACAGCCACGCAACTTGGCCGCAAACCCTAAACCCTAAACCCTAAACCCTAAACATAAAAGCTCACAAAGAGATGTTCGGAAGCAAAAGCAGCAGCGCGGGGAGCTGTCCACGAGACACAGCAGCAGCTCCATCAGCGCGGGCCGCGAGAACCAGCGGGCGATTTCTTCTGCTGCAGCAGAACAGCAGCAAATAAGAAATGGCTGTTGAAGTGAGGCGGCCCGCTGCAGCAGAAGCAGCAGCAGCAGCTGCAGCAGCAGCTGCAGCAGCAGCAGCAGCAGCAGCAGCAGCTCGCTCACAGTAGTTCCGCCAGGGGCTTTTCTCCTGCACAGCAGCTCCATCAGCGCGGGCCGCGAGAACCAGCGGGCGATTTCTTCTGCTGCAGCAGAACAGCAGCAAATAAGAAATGGCTGTTGAAGTGAGGCGGCCCGCTGCAGCAGAAGCAGCAGCAGCAGCTGCAGCAGCAGCTGCAGCAGCAGCAGCAGCAGCAGCAGCAGCTCGCTCACAGTAGTTCCGCCAGGGGCTTTTCTCCTGCAAAAGTGCTGCAGCAACTTTTGCCCAGGCAGCTTCGACTGCAGCACTGAAGCCGGCGGAGGCAGCAGCAAGTTCTGAAGCTCTTCAAATTAATTTTCAACTTTTAAAAAATAAAAAAATAAAAACAAAATAATTCCAAGCAGCAGCAACTTGAACTCTTGCTGCTGCCACCCTACCAAATATGCCATTTAGCTGCTTCTTTATTTCCGCCGGCAAAAGGCCCCCGGGGCCCCCTGGGGGCCCCGGGGGCCCCCAGGGGGCCCCCCGGGGGCCCCCTGGGGGCCCCCTGCTGCTGCTTGGCAGCAAATAATGTGGGGGCGTTGGCAGAGTTGGAGGCACTGGTGTATAAAGCTGTGGAAGGTCTCAGCGGCGAGGGGGGAAGTGGGATTTAACTTGAACAAACAAAGTCCTGAAGAAAAGAAGAATGCAGCAGCAAAAAGAGCAGCAAAAGAAATGCCTTAGCAGCAGCAGCAGCAGCAGCAGCAGCAGCAGCAGCAGCAGCAGCAGCAGCAGCAGCGACACACGGGGCCCCCTTATGGGCTTGAAGGGCAATTCGGGCACTTTCGCAACAAGCTGAATTTAAAGCCATTTAAAAGCCAAAACTCCATTTTAAACACAAATTCTTCTCAATTTAATTAAAACACAATTAAAATTATTTATTATTCATTTTATAAAACTAAAGGCCCCGAAAGAAGCAAAAAATTCGAAAAAGAAACTCGCTGCTGCTGCTGCTGCTGCTGCTGCTGCTGCTGCAGCTGCTGCAGCACCGCAACTCACCGCGGACCACTTCTGCTGCGCCCAGCGATTTCCCCAAAGGGAATTCGGGGAAGTCCGGGGGCCCCTGGATCTGGAGAAGTTTGAATTAATTAATTCAAACGAGAAGTTTGAATTAATTAATTTTTAATTAAAAAGTTTTAAAAAAGATTTTCGAAAAAAGAAGTTTTGAAGGACTCAGCAGCAGCAGAAGCAGCAGCTCACTGCGCGGGGAGGAAAGGAATTCGAAAGACAAGCAACTGGACTTTCGCTGCACTCTTCTGCTTCTTCTGCATGCAGAGGTGCAGCAGCAAAAGAAGCAGCAGCAGCAGCAGCAGCAGCAGCAGCAGCAGCAGCAAACCGGCCCCCTGAGTCCTCGCTGGGGGGCCGCCAGCTCGCAGCTGCAAATCCACGCATTTCACTTCTGCTGCGCAAAACACGCAGCAGCAGCAGCAGCAACAGCAGCAGCAGCAGCAGCAACAGCAGCAGCAGCAGCAGCAACAGCAGCAGCAGCAGCTGCAGCAGCAAAGTGTCCTCACGCGAATTGAACTTCCTGCTGCTGTCCAGCAGCTTCCGCTTCTTCTGTCTTTGCTGCTGCTTCTGTTCGTACAGCAGACTGAGGGCCCGGATCTTGAGGGCTTCGCAAAGGGCTTGCTGCTGCTGCTGCGAAAATAAATAAATAAATAAATAAATAAATAAATAAATAAATAAATAAATAAATAAATAAATAAACAAATAAATAAATAAATAAATAATAAATAAATAAATAAATATAATTTAAATTAGACAATTGCAAGGAAGTTTATTGTTTTGTGGAATTACTGAATCGACAGAGGCATTTGGAATGAAGTACAAATTGCTGCTGTTTGGAGTTTCAAATTCTGTGTCTGCTGCTCCCCACAAAAGCTGCTGCCTCTCGCTGCATGCGCGCGCTTCCCGCGCTGCTGCTGCTGCTGCTGCTGCTGCTGCTGCTGCTGCTGCTGCTGCTGGCTGCTGCACTGCGCACTGGGAATTCAAGAATTCAATTTGGGCATTTCTGCGGCCGGCGCGGCTTTGCTGCCGGCGCTGCAGCAGCAGCGCAACAGCAGCAGCACGAACTGCCTGGAGTGCAGCATTTTTGCAGAAACTGGAAATTTGCAAAAGTGATCTCACCTCTTCTTGCATTTCTGCTGCTCCCAACTGGATATTTGAGCAGCAAATTGCGAAACTCAATGGATAATAAAAAGAAATAATGAAAAACGAACAAAGTTCAAGTCAAAAGTGTCGAGCTTTCCACTTTCGACGCGCGCGGTGCGGCTTCGCCAGGTGTACGTACACCCGAAATGCGCAAAGTTGCACGCCGCCGATCCCGCGTTTTGCGCTTTTCCATTTCACTTTAATTTCATTTGCAGAATTCGTTTTTGAACTTTAATTTCGTTTTAATAATTCATTTTTGTGATTTAATTCAACTGACGAATTCCAAGCGAGTGGGAACGATGTTGAACGAGGTGTATGTACACCTGGTGCAGCGTGCTGCTTGGCGAAAGCAAAGTTCAAATTTTAAAACTTTCAGTTTCCAATTTATTTATTTTATTCTTTAGAAGCTGCAACTCGAAGTAAATCTTTTCAACTTCGAAACCCCACTTGAACTCCGCCTGCTGCTGCCTGCGAGTTGAATCTGCTGCTGCGCTGCAGCAGCAACTTGCTGCAGCAGCGCAGCAAGGCGCGGGCGGGAAGCCAGAGGCAGCAAAAGAAATTTAATTAAATTAATTTAACTAATTTAATTAGATGATTTTAATGAATTAAATGAATTAAATGAATTAAATGATTTAAAGATTTAAATTGAGAAGCTGCACTTCTCGAGACTTTCTGTCTCTGTCTCTGTCCAAATGTTTCTCTTTGAAAAGCAGCAAAGGGCCTCTGCTGCAGCGCAGATGCCAGCAGCAGCAACGTGGCCTTTTTGAGCTAACTCTGTTGCTAGCACCTAGCAGCAGCAGCAGCAGCAGCAGCAGCAGCAGCAGCAGCAGCAGCAGCAGCAGCAGCACACAGGCAGCAGGAGGCCGCTGCAGGAGTGCAGAGAAAGAACTTGTGCTTAGAGATCTTAAAGACTGGCTGGGGAGTCTGGAGTGGCTATAAGGGAGTTGGCCTCGGGGCAAGTTGCTGCAGCATCGACGGCCTAGGCTTGCGTGCCGCTGCTGCTGCTGCTGCTGCTGCTGCTGCTGCTGCTGCTGCTGGTGCGGGGTCGCAATGGGTAGAAAGTGCGTGTGGGCGCGGCTGGCGTTTCAGGTGTACGTACACCTGAGGCCGCGGGCGCCAGGGGCGCCCCCGACTTGGCCGTCACTTTTGCTTTTCTGCACTGCTGGCTAGCGGGGCTTTGGGGCGGCTTTGAAGGGCTGGAAGGAAAGAATAAAAAGGAAAAAGGAAAAGATTTGGAAATTAGTGGAAAAAAGAAAATAAAAAGGAGCAGCAAAGGCCGGGGGCTCCGCAGCAGCAGCAGCAGCAGCAGCGCCGGTCATGCAGCGCGAGGCCCGGCGGCGAGAAGCGCGGGTTGGGGGCCTGCAGCTTCCTCTTGGCCGAAAATTTCTTTTCCGTTTTTTTAATTTCCAAAATAAAATTCATAAAAAATAAAAAGTAAACTCCTCAGAGTTCAGAACGAAGCGATCGGGCGGCTGCGGACGCCGCGGGAAGTGTCGATACACCGCGCCACTGGCCCACTCGCGCCGCGCGCGATCTTCGACTTTTTTCCGCAAAACTTCGAATTTTTTCGCAAAATTCGGAGTTATTTTCTCTTTTTATTCTTCATGGGGGAGGAAAACTCCCGAGTTTCCGCCTGAGCTGCCCGAATCCACCGCTAGCAGCAGCAGCGCAGCAGCGCAGCAGCGCAGCAGCGCAGCAGCGCAGCAGCGCAGCAGCGCAGCAGCAGCAGCAGCAGCAGCAGCAGCAGCCGCCGGCTCGCAACGATGGAGAAGCTCGACTCCGCTTCTTCGCCGCGGTCCCCGCGGGCGCCCTCGGTGAGTCCTTTGCTGCTGTCGAGCAGCGCAGCAGCAGCAGCAGCAGCAGCAGCAGCAGCAGCAGCAGCAACTCGAAATACTTGAACTGCAGCAAAAGCCTGCGCCTTTGCCTGCAGGCCGAGGCCGACCCCCTCACCCTCGAGGTCCGGGGCTTTCTGGAGGTCTTTGGAGTCCGCACGGGACAGTCCAGCGACTCAAGTAAGTTTGCTGCTGCGCTGCAGCTTGCTGCTGCTGCTGCTGCTGCTGCGCTGCAGCCTGCTGCTGCTGCTGCGCTGCAGCCTGCTGCTGCTGCTGCGCTGCAGCGTGCTGCTCCTGCTGCCTCGCGCTAGCTTCCCGCGTGCATGCATCTGACGCCCGCTGCTGCTGCTGCTGCTGCTGCTGCTGCGCTGCCTCTGCTGCGCCCCTGTTGCTGCAGTTGGCTCGAGGCGCAGCTTGTCGCTCTCCCGCGGCTCCTCCCTGGGCCGCACTGCCACTCCTGCTGCTGCTGCTGCTGCTGCTGCTAAGCCTGCAGCAGCAAGAAAGGCCCCGGGGGCCCCCGGAGAAGCAGCAAAGGCCAAGCAGCAGGAAAGAGCTGCTTCAGTGCCCTCCAAGAGCCGCCTGGTCAAAAAAGCTGCCCCGGGGGCCCCCAAAGCAGCAGCAGCAGCAGCAGCAGCAGCAGCAAAGGGCCCCACAGCAGTGCGGCTCATGAGTGCTGAAGCCAAAAAGCAAGACAAAGAAGACTCTTCAGAAGCCCCCAAAGAGCTGCCCCACAGGCTGGTGGAGAAGACAGCAGCAGCAGCAGCAGCAGCACAGGACCCCAAGGCAGCAGCAGCAGCCCCTGACGACCCAGCAGCAGCAGCAGCAGCAGCAGCAGAACCTGCAGCCAAGCAGCAGCCCGCCCCAAAAGCAGCAGCAGGGCCCCCCACGGCCAAAAGGGTCTTAGCCAAAAAAGAAGCTCCTCCAGAAAAGCCCTCAGAAGAAGCAGCAAAAGCTGCTGCAGCAGCAGCAGCAAGAACTGCAGCAGAAGCCCCAAAAGCTGCAGCAGAAGCAGCAAAAGCTGCTGCAGCAGCTCCCGTGGCCAAAAGAATCATAGGGAAAAAAGCAGCACCTGCCAGTTTGCTGCGCAAGGGAAGCTTGGGAGCAGCAGCAGCAGCAGCAGCAGCAGAAGGCAAGGCTGCTGCAGAGAAACCTGCAGCAGACGCGGCAGATGCAGCAGCAGCAGCAGCAGCAAAGCCAGCAGCAGACGCAGCCCCTGCAGCAAAGGCAGCACCCGAAGCTGCAGCACCCAAAGCTGCAGCAAAAGCAGCAGAAGCAAAAGCTGCAGCAGAAGAAGCAAAAGAAGCAGCAGCAGCAGCAGAAGCAGCAGAAGCAGCAGAAGCAGCAGGTGCAGCAGCAAAGAAAACTGCAGAAGCTGAAGAAGCTGCCGACGCAAAGAAGGACGCAGCAGCAGCAGCAGCAGCAGCAGACGAAGCCGACGCAGCAAAGAGTGCTGCAGCAGAAGCAGCAAAAGATGCAGCTGCTGCGGGGAAAGATGATGCAGCAAAGGATGCAGCAGCAGCAGCAGAAGCAGCAGAAGATGCAGCAGCAGCAGCAACAAAGTCTGAGGCTGCCTCGAGCAGCCCGGATGCAGCAGCAGCAGCAGCAGCAGCAGATGCTGACGCAGCTGAGCAGCAAAAAGGGGAAAAAGAAAAAGAAAAAGTAAAAGTGGAGCAGCAAGCAGCAGCAACAAAAGAATCCAAGATGCAGCAGCCAGCAGCAGAAGCAAAAGAAGCAAAAGAGGGGGCCCCACAGCAGCAAACTGCTGCTGCTGAAATAGCTGTGGAAGCAGCAGCAGCAGAAGCAGAGGAGGGGCCCCAAGCAGCAGCAGCAGGGGCCCCTGCTGCTGCTAAAGCTGCTGCAGCAAAGAAGGCCCCGGGGCTTGCTGCTAAGGCAGCAACGCCAGCAGCAAAGACTGCAGCAGCAGCTGCGAAGACACCTGCTGCAGCAGCAAAGACCCCAGCAGCAACAGCAGCAAAAGCCCCAGCTGCAGCTGCTGCAGCAAAGACACCTGCCGCAGCAGCAGCAAAGACACCAGCTGCAGCAGCAAAAACGCCGGCAGCAACTGCTAAAGCACCAGCTGCAGCAGCAAAGACGCCAGCTGCAGCAGCAGCAAAAACTCCAGCTGCAGCAACTAAGGCTCCAGGTGCAGCAGCAGCAAAGACACCAGGTGCAGCAGCAGCAAAGGCACCTGCTGCAGCAGCAGCAAAGGCAGCAGCTGCAACAAAAGAAGCAGAACCAGCAGCAGAAAAAGAGGGGGAAGGAGAGCAGCAGGAAGAAGAAGAAGCGGCGCAGCAGCAAGAGGAAGAGAGCACCGAAGCAGCAGCAGCAGCAGCAGCAGCAGCAGAGCCTAAGAAGGCAGCAGCAGCAGCTCAAGCCCCTTCGGCTAAAGTTCCCTTGAAGAAGGCAGTTCCAACTCCACCGCCCGCAGCAAAAGCAGCAGCAGCAGCAGCAAAAGCCGCGCCAGCAGCAGCAGCAAAGACAGCAGCAGCAGCAGCAGCAAAAGAAGCGTCCGCAGCAGATGCGGCGAAGGCAGGACCGCCAGCAGCAGCAAAGACGACTGCAGCAGCAAAAGCAGCACCTTCTGCTGCTGCTGGAGCAGCAAAGACAGCTGCAGCAAAAGCTCCAGCAGCAAAAGCAGGCTCTGCAAAGGCTGCAGCAGCAAAGGGAGCAGCAGCAGCAGCAGCAGCAGCAGCAGACTCCCAAGCCGAGGCGAAGAAAGACGACAAAGAAGCAGCAAAAGGCTCTGCTGCAGCGCCAAAAGCAAAGACACTCATGCACAAGGCTGCTCCCAAAGCAGCAGCAGCAGCAGCAGCAGCAGCAGCAGCAAAGACAGAGCCCGAAGCCTCTAAAGCAGCTCCGGGGGCGCAGCAAAAGGGGGCCCCCAAAGAGGGTAAAGGAGCTGCTGCAGGGGCCCCCGGGGCCCCCTCGAAAGAAGCAGCAGCAGCAGAGGCAGCAAAAGCAGACAAAACGCCAGCAGCAGCAGCAGCAGCAGCAAAAACTCAAGATAAGGCTTCGCCGAAAATCGCAGCAAAAGCCAAACCCGCAGCAGCAGCAGCAGCAGCAGCAGCAAGAGATGAAGTCCCCACGAGCCCTCCCAGCGCGAAGACACCGAAGAAGAAAGCAGCTCCGGCCTCTCCCTCTTCAGCAGCAGCAGCAGCAGCAGCAGCAGCAGCAGCAGCAGCAGCAGAGGGCCGCAAAAGCGAAAGCCCCCCGGGAGAAGCCAAAAGAGCCAGCAGCACTGAGTCTGAGGGGCCCCACAGACAAGACACTGCAGCAAAACTCAGCCCCTCGGGGGGCCCCCCTTCTGGGGGCCCCCCTGGGGGCCCCCCTGGGGGCCCCCCTGGGGGCCCCTCTGGGGGCCCCCCTGGGGGCCCCCCTGGAGGGGGCCCCCCTGGGGGGCCCCCCGAGGGGGCCCCTGGGGGCCCCCTCGACGAGTCCGATGGCTGGTCTGTTTCTTCAGATGGGTTTATGGGGGAAAGAGCAGCAGCAGCAAACAGCAAAAGCGACAGCAGCAGACCTGCTGCAGTGCCGCGGCTGAGCCACATCCCCTCCAGGGACAGTGAGGGCCGTTTGCTGCTGGGGCCCCCCCTGGGGGGCCCCCGGGGGGCCCCTTGCTGCTCTTTCGAGCAGCGATGGAACAGAACAGGAAAGTGAGGGAAGCAAAAAAGGGAAAAAGAAAAGTTTGAAGACAAAAGGGACAAAAGGGAAGAAAGCTGAGGGGGGGGTTGTTAAGAAAAAGAAAGCAGCAGCAGCAGCAGCAGCAGCAGCAGCAGCAGCAGCAGACAAGAGCTCGGGCGACAGCTCCGACAACAAAGGCCTCGAAAAGAAAACAAAAAAAGAAAAAGCTGCTAAGGGGCCCAAGGCAGCAGCAGCAGCAGCAAAAGACAGCAGCAAAGGCACTCCAGTGAGGCCACAGGCACAGGCAATAAACTAAAGCAGCAGCAGCAGCAGCAGCAGCAGCAGAAGCAGCAGCAACAGTGCAATGAGGAGAGATCAGCAGCAGCAGCAGCAGCAGCAGCAAAACAGAGACGCACAGACAGAGGCACTGATGCAGAGAGACTTAAGCAGACAATATAAATAGAAATAGAATCACTGCTGCCTCTGCTGTTGCTGCTGCTGCTGTTGCTGCTGCTGCTGTTGCTGCTGCTGCTGCTGCTGCTGTTGCTGCTGCTGCTGTTGAGAATTAGACACAAGCAAATTAACGTGTGTAGCGGCTCACAGAAACTGGGCAGAAGCCCCAGGTCAAATAGCGCATCTGCTGCTGCTGCTGCTGCTGTTGCTGACTCGATTGCTGCTGCTGCGGCTGCTGCTGCGGCTGCTGCTGCGGCTGCTGCTGCTAATTCGATTGCTGCTGCTGCTTGGTTTGCCGCAGACTCTGAGCCGGAAAGGCACGCCGCAGCTGCTGTCGCAGCAGAACAGCAAGCAGCTGCCAGCAGCAGCAGCAGCAGCAGCAGCAGACAAGACAAAAGAAAAAGAAAAAGAAAAAGAAAAAGAAAAAGAAGAAGCAGCTCCTCCTAAGGCCCCCAAGGCCCGCGTTGGCAAACTTGGCCAAGCAGCAGTAAGTCTGCAGCAGTTCAGGTGTACGTACACCTCAGCTGCCGCGGGGCAACTCTGCACAAATGCGGGCAAAAACTGAAGATAAAGATCTCCGCAGAAATATAAATTTGTGCAAATGTCTTTAATTGGTCTTTTAGTCTTTTAAAAACTCAAAAAAGAAATAAATTTGGCAGCAAATGTGCCGAGAGCGGCTTGCGCGCATTTGTGGGCGCAGGTGTACAGACAGCCACGAATGGGCGCAAATAAATACTAAATGAATGCAAATAAATGAAAATAAATGAAAATTTATGAAAATTAATGCAAATAAATGGAAATAAATCCAAATAATTGAAATTAATGCAAACAAATGTGAAGATGTGAATAAATGCGCGAGTTCTTTGCCTGCGGCTGCTGCTGCAGGAAGAAGAAGCAGCAGCTGCTGCGCCTCTGAAGAACCTGGGCAGCAAAGGCAAGCAGGCAGCAGCAGCAGCAGCGCCAGCAGCAGCAGCAGCAGCAGCAGCAAAAGGCAGCGCGCGGCAGCCCCCGAAAGAAAGTGCGCAGCAGCACAGCAGCAAAGAGCTCAAAGAAAGAGCAGCAGCAGCAACAACAGCAACAGTAGCACCAGCAGCAATTGCTGCTTCGAAGGCACCGGCAACAGCACAGGTTATTACGGAAGTCATTCCAGCAGCTGCAGCAGGAGCAGCAGCAGCAGCGCCCGCAGAAGCAGCAGCAGCAGCAGCAAAGCCGCAAACTGCAGCAGCAGCAGCAGCAGCACCGGAGAAGCTGCAGTCGCTTCGCGAAGCAGGAAAAGCAGCATCAGTTGTGTCTTTTAAAGGACTTTCTCCGCAGCAGTCTTTTTCGAGTTCGGAGGAAGGAGCAGCGGAAGCAAAAGGTGCTGCTGCTGCTGCTGCTGCTGCTGCTGCTCCTGCTGCTGCTTCCCTCGCCAAACGGTTTGCTGCACTGCAGCAAAACAAAGGAGACTCCCAAATCTCCCCGCAGCCTTCAAGAGCTTCCACGGGGCTTCAGTACTTGGCGTCTCTCTCAAAGAAGCTGCCTTCCAGCAGTCAGTGCTGCTGCTGCTGCTGCTGCTGCTGCTGCTGCTGCTGCTGTTGCTGCTGTTGCCGTTGCCGCTGCTGCTGTTGCTCCTGATGCTGTTAGTGACGGTGCTGCTGCTGCAGCAGCAGCAGTTAAGCAGCAGCAGCACTTACCCTCCTGCTTCTGTCGCTGCTGCTCCTCTGCTGCAGTGCGTAGACCCCGCGCTATAAAAGCCGCTGTATCTGCTGCTGCTGCTGCTGCTGCTGCTGCTGCTGCTGTTCGCAGGCATGTCGAAGCTGGCGTCTCACCAGTCTGTGAAGGGGGCCCCTGGGGCCCCGGGGGCCCCCCCAGGGGCCCCCCCAGGGGGCCCCCCAGGGGCCCCCCCAGGGGCCCCCGGGGGCCCCCAGGGGGGCTTTGGGCCCCTGCCAGGCCATTTGCTGCTGCGGACCCGCAGCTTTTCTCCCGCGCTGCTGCAGCAAAGACTGGAGAGTCCAGAAGTTCATGGGAAGCTGCTGCAGCATTCTGCTTACATGCAGCAGCAGCAGGTGCCTTGGCGGGTGCCTGAGCGGGCTTCTGCAGCGCCAGCAGCAGCAGCAGCAGCAGCAGCAGCGCAGCAGCAGCAGCACAGGCGCAGCGGCGGCAGCAAAGCCTTCGCCTTGTTCTCCCAGTGCTGCGGCCTCCCCTGCTGCGATATACCGCAGGAGGCGCCTCAAGTCCACAGAGCCAGCAGCAAAGCCCTGAAGCAGTGAGGGTTTAGGGTTTAGGGTTTAGGGTTTAGGGTTCAGGGTTTAGGGTTTAGGGTTTAGGGTTTAGGGCTTAGCTCTGGGGGATAGGAGCCACCGTGCTGTGAATGAGAGGCGGACGCTGGCCTTCAAGACATTCCGGTTTCTGTTGATGCGCTCCAGAGGGTTTAGGGTTTAGGGTTTAGGGTTTAGGGTTTAGGGTTTAGGGTTTAGGGTTTAGGGCTTCGGGGGTTTTGTGTTTGTGTGCAGGCTGATTTCCCAGCCCTCGCTGCGAGCAGCTCCTTCTCGCCAAAGCAGCAGCAAACCTGGACAGGGTTCAGTAAAGGGGGCCCCCAAGGAAGCAGCAGCTGCTGCTGCTGAGGGGCAGGGGCCCCCTGCTGCAGCAGCAGCAACAGCAGCAGCAGCACCAGCAGCAGCAGCAGGGTACTGGGATGCCGAGGGCAACTGGGTGCCCACAGGAGACGGCGGGCAGCAGCAAGGGGGAGATGCAGCAGCAGCAGCAGCAGGAGACGCAGCAGCAGCAACAGGGTACTGGGATGAAAACGGCAACTGGGTGGACACTGCAGCAGCAGCACAACCAGCAGCAGCAGCAGCAGCAGCAGCAGCAGGCTACTGGGACGAACAAGGAAACTGGGTGAGCACAGCGGGCTACTTTGATGAGCAGGGAAACTGGGTGCAGCAGCAAAATAATCAGCAGCAGCAGTGGGACCAGCAGCAGCAGCAGCAGCAGTGGGACCAGCAGCAGCAGCAGCAGCAGTGGGACCAGCAGCAGCAGCAGCAGTGGGACCCGCAGCAGCAGTGGCAGCAGCAGCAGTGGGACCAGCAGCAGCAGCAGCAGTGGGACCAGCAGCAGCAGCAGCAGTGGGACCAGCAGCAGCAGTGGCAGCAGCAGCAGCAGCAGCAGTGGGGAGACGGCTACGCAGGCTACTATGACCAGCAGGGCCAGCAGGGGAACATAGAGCAGCAGCAGTAGCAGCAGCGCCACTGCAGCAGCTGCTGCCGAAGCTGGCAGCCACAGCAGCAGCAGCAGCAGCAGCAGCAGCAGCAGCAGCAGCAGCAGCAGCTAAGGTGCAGCCCCAACAGCAATGCTGCCACCATGTGGGGCCAATGCAACAATCAGGACTTCAGTGAAGACGGAGTCACTGGAAGCTTAATATTAGCAGCAGCAACAGCAGCAGCAGCAGCAGCAGCAGCAGCAGCAAGGCAGGCGCTGCTGCAGCTATAGGTGCTGCTGCAGCAACAACTATAGCGATCTACCAAAAGATAACTTGCCAATGAAGGTTCCTGGAGGCTTTTGCTGAACAGCAGCAGCAGCAAAAGCCGCACCAGCTCCAGCAGCAGCAGCAGCAGCAGCAGCAGCAGCAGCAGCAGCAGCAACTGCTTTTTCAGTTCTTTATTTCCTCTATTTGCAAATGACATGTGCATGCAATTTGCTTCACTGCCAAATGATGTGAGATGCAACTGCAGCGCCGCTGCCCCGTTTTCTCAAAGCAGCAGCAGCAGCAGCAGCAGCAGCAGCAGCAGCAGCAGGTGCAGTTGGTCAGGCTGCTGCTGCTGCTGCTGGAGCAGTAGTCGTATTAGGTGCAGCAGGTATATCTGCTGCTGCTGCTGCTGCTGCTGTTTTATGGGGGCTCCCCGCGGGCTGCTGTGTGGGGTGTCTGCACAACGGGGTGTACGTACACCTGGCTCATTTGCTGCTGCTGCTGCTTCCCCAATTAGACTGGACAGCAGCTCCATTTAATTGCTGGGTATTCAACTGGACTTTGGGGCCCCTGGCTAGCTAGCTAGCCAGCTAGCTAGCTAGCTAGCCAGCTATTTGGCTAGCTAGCTATCTAGCTAGCTAGCTAGGTAGCTGGCTAGCGAGCTACTTAGCTAGCTAGCCAGCGAGCCATTTAGCTAGCTAGCTAGCGAGCTATTTAGCTAGCGAGCTAGCTGGCTAGCTAGCCAGCTATTTAGCTAGCTAGTTAGCTAGCTAGCTGGCAGCCACTCTGTGCACTCCTCAAGGCCGAGGTCCAGTGGTCACTTTGCTGCTCCCCAGTGGACCACCCGCGGCGCCTTTTGCTGCGCTTAAAAGGCAGCAGCAGCAGCAGCAGCAACAGCAGCAGCAAAAAGTAATTTGAAATAAAACAAAAGAATTTCAAAAGATACAAAAATAAGAAGCTGCATTGGCTACGCTAGCTGCAGCTAGCCGCAGCTAGCCGTGGCTAACTGTAGTTAGCCGTGGCTAGCTGTAGCTAGCTGGGCTGGGGGCTGTAGCTAGCTGTGGCTAGCAGCAGCTAGCAGCGCAGCTAGCTGTGCAGCTAGAGCTAGCGGGAGCTAGCTAGGGGCAGCCGTGGCTAGCTGCAGCTAGCTGTGGCTAGCTGCAGCTAGCTGTGGCTAGCCAGCGCTTTGCGTGCCCCTGGCTAGCTGCAGCTAGCTGCGCCTAACTGCAGCTAGCTGCTGCAGTCAACCTAGCGGCAGCTAAGTGAACTGCTCCACCCTAAACCCTAAACCCTAAACCCTAAACCCTAGGCCCTAAGCCCTAAACCCTAAGCCCCTAAACCCTAAGCGACGCAGCTCTCAGCTGTAGAGCCCTTCAGCAGCTTTTTCGCCGCTTTTGCATTTATTTGCTTCTTCGAGCTGCAGCGCTGCAGCAGCAGCAGCAGCGGCGGAAGTGGGGCCCCGCAGTGGCGGCGAAAGAGAGGGAAGGGGCCCCTAAAAAGCAACTTTGAAGTTGAAAAATGATTAAAATGAATATTATAAATCAATTAATTGAAAGAAAGAGAGAAAATGGAGGTGTTCAGCCCGTGATCAGCTCGGGGTGCTTCCGGGTTTTGAACGCCTGTGTGTGTGGCAGCGGGAAGCGCGGACTCGCCGCCTTCTGGCGCGTTTCGGAAGCGCAAATAGATTTTAAAGATTAATTTCTTTGAATTAAATTCATTTTATTTGTTGTGAGAGTTCTGTGGCGGTCGCTCGCGGGCGCGCGCTGCTCGGGTGTATGTACAGCGCTCGTTGACAGCATCGACGGCGGCGCTGGGGTGTACGTACAGCCGGTGTAGCGCGCGTTCTGCCGCGTTTTTGCGTTGAAATAACTTCATTTCGAGTAAAGTGCATTAAATAAAAGTGGAAAAGCGGAGAAAGACGGCGAAAAAGGGCGCTTGGGGGGCCCCGCGGCGCAGCTGCTGCTTGCGAGCCGGTGGAGATCTGCTGCTGCTGCTGCTGCTGCTGGCTTCGTTTTTGCCCGTCTTCGAGTTCTTTTTCTTCTTTAATGCAGCTTTACTGCATCTTTAACGCAGTTACTGAAGTAATGAAACGAAGAAAGCCGCGGAGTTTCCCCTTTTAAGCGCAGCAGCAGCAGCAGCAGCAGCAGCAGCAGCACCGGGCCACCGCCAGCGCCCTGCTAGCTCTTCTTCTTCTGCTCTTCTAACTCATGGAGACAAACAAAGACAAAAAGATTATAAACAACAAAATGAATGGTCTTTTCAAAAAGGGTTAATTCGACAAGTGAGGCGCCGCAGCCCCAGCAGCTTGGCCTGGCTTTCTAGGGTTTAGGGTTTAGGGTTTAGGGTTTAGGGTTTCGCCGCTCTGCCCCCCCGCTGCGCAGCGTGCGAAGCGCAGGCCAGCGCCGCATCCTCTGCTGCTGCTGCTGCACCTGCCCTGGAGCCCTTCACGCGCCTCCCGCTGCTGCTGCTGCTGCTGCTGCTGCTGCTGCTGCTGCTGCGCTGCAGCTAGCTCTTTGCTTTCGCCTTCATTTCGGCCCAATGCCAGAGTCAGCTCAAGACACCCTGGGGGCCCCCAGTGTACGTACACCCCGGGAGGGGGGCCCCCTGCCAAGTCCCAGGCAAGAAAGTTCTCCCGAAAGTCCCCACGAAGTATCGGAAGAGGGGCCCCTGGGGGCCCCCGAGGGGCCCCCGGGGGCCCCCCTGGGGGCCCCCCTGGAGGGCCCCCCGGGGGCCCCCCTGGGGGCCCCCCTGGGGGCCCCCGAGGGGCCCCCTGGGGCCCCCGAGGGGCCCCTCGGGTCCCCCAAGCCGCAGGCTGCCAGCGGAGGAAAGGCCCCTGCTGCAGCAGCAGAAGCTGCGGCTACTCAAGCAGCTGCTGCGCGGACTGTAAGCTGTGCTGCTGCTGCTGCTGCTGCTGCTGCTGCTGCTGTTGCTGCTTGTGGTGTTGCTGCTGCCTTTTTCCTACTGCTGCTTGTGCTGCTGCTGCTGCTGCTGCTGCTGCTGCTTCATGGGGTGGTGTTTACGCTTCGGGCAGCTGAAGGAGAGACAGACGGAGTCTTGTTGCCGTTGCTGCTGCTGCTGCTGCTGCTGCTGCTGCTGCTGCTGCTGCTGCAGGCGTCCAGCAGCTCCGAGCGACAAGTAAAGCGCCACCGGTCTTCGTTGAAGCACAGCAGCAGCAGCAGCAGCAGCAGCAGCAGCAGCAGCAGCAGCAGCAGCCAGCCGCACCGCGCAGTGACCTTCACTGAAGAAGTTTTTGTTGCTGAAGTCCCAATAGAGAAAAACTCCCACGTGGCCATTCCCCTCACTGAGGGAGACATAGAGCCGCAGCAGCAGCAGCAGCAGCAGCAGCAGCAGCAGCAGCAGCGGCAGCAGCGGCAGCAGCTGGGCTCCCCCAGGGGCCTCACGAGAAGCCCCTCAGACGGTGAGCAGCAGGCCTAGGCTACCCCGAAGGCCCGGAGCTGCTGCTGCTGCTGCTGCTGCTACTGCTGCTGCTGCTACGACAGTGCTGCTGCTGCTGCCGCTGCTGCTGCTGCTGCTGCTACGACAGTGCTGCTGCTGTGCATGTGAACATCTTTGCGCTCAGGACTGCAGCAGCCAGGGGGCCCCTTCTCACCGCGGGGTTCCCCAAGGGGCCCCCTGCTGCTGTGCAGGGGCCCCTGGAACTTCGAGACCCGCCCCGTGAGGGTCTCTTCTCCGGGGCCCCTTGAGTGGTTAGTGAAGTTAATAATGTGCTGCAGCGGTTCGCGGCAGTGGTGACGCAGCAGCAAACCCTAAACCCTAAACCCTAAACCCTAAACCCTAAACCCTCGCCGCAGGGGAAACCCCAAACCCTCGGCGGAGGCCGCGGGGGCCCCCGCTGCCCGCAAACGCGGGCAGCAGCCCTTATTTGGGTTCGCCGCAACCCCAAACCCTAAACCCTCCAAACCCCAAACCCTAAACCCTAAACCCTAAACCCTAGCTGTGGCAGCGGCGGCCTGCACTCCCGGAACACCCCTAGGGTTTACGAGGCTAGGGTTTGCGAGGGTTTGCGAGGCTAGGGTTTACGAGGGTTTACAAAACCACAAGTAATAATAAAATGCACATTTGGTGAGACAAACAGAACAGCAAAAGAGACAAACGCACAGGGGGCCCCCAAGGGGGGCCCCCAGTGCATTCTATACAACCCCCTAAATGAAATAGAAACAGGGGGCGCCTCCGGGGGGCCCCGGGGGTTTCTGTACCCTTTTTGGGGCCCCCTGGGGCCCCTCTTGGGGGCCCCAGGGGGCCCCACGGGTATCTAGCTGTTCCCCGGGCCCCCGGGGCTTCTGACAGTTCTCTGGGGGCCCCTTGGGGGCCCCTAAGGGGGCCCCCAAGTGGGGGGCCCCTTGGGGGCCCCCAACGGGGGGCCCCAGGGGGGCCCCCCAGGCATTTACGTCTTAGGGGTTCTCTGCAGTCTTGTCCCCCTCCTAGAGGGTACAAAAGGAGGACCCCCGTTGGTTTCTGGCCCCTGGGGGCCCCCCTGGGGGCCCCCCGGGGGGCTCTGCGCTGGGGGCCCCTCGGGGGGCCCCTCGGGGGGCCCCTCCGGGGGCCCCTCGGGGGGCCCCTCGGGGTCCTTCTCCATTGAGGGGCCCCTGCTGCGGGTCTCAGCATCTGGAGTTGGCGAAGGAGAAACAGAAAAGACCAGCAAAGGAAAGTTCTCTTCAGAATGTTGTGTCCCATTTAGCTGGGGGGCCCCCCGGGGGCCCAGCGCCCCAGGGGCACTGGGGGGGCCCCCCAGGGGCCCCAGGGGCCCCTGGGGGGCCCCCCAAGTACCATTTTGTAGGGGCCCCTCCCTCTCTGGGGACCCTTCTATAAGAGCCCCCAAACCATTTCTTCTGGGGCGGCCTCTGCCCCTGTCTGCTTCTGCTGCTGCTGCTGCTGCTGCTGCTGCTGCTGCTGGGAGGCTCGCTGCAGCAGCTGCTGGAGGGGACGCAGTACCCTTTTGGGGGCCCCCTCCCCGAGCCTCTGCTTCCCCGGACACCCGCTGCTGCTGCTGCTGCTGCTGCTGCTGCTGCTGCTGCTGGGGGCTCCCAGAAGCAGCAGACGAAGCCGACAGCCGCCGCCGCGCTGTGCAGCGCGACCCAATGCTGCTGCTGCTGCTGCTGCTGCTGCTGCTGCTGGACGGCCCCCCTTGGGGAGTGTCTCTTCTTCTTTTGCTGCTTCTGGAGACTGAAGCGCTGCTGCCGGGGGCCCCCGAGGGCCCCCCGGGGCCCCCGGGGGGCCCCCCGGGGCCCCCGGGGCCCCCGGGGGCCCCGGGGCCCCCTAGGGGCCCCCGGGGAGAAGAAGGCATAAGACTGGGTGTGCTGCGGGGGGGCCCCCCTTCTGCTGCTGCTGCTGGCCTTTCGGGCAGTTTGTTGCTGCTGCGGCTGCAGGGGCCCCTGCTGCTTCTTGGGGGGCCCCCCTCGAGATCACTTTTGACCCTTTTGGGGGCCCCCCCGGGGGCCCCCGCAGCAGCTGCTGCTGCTGCTGACGGCGCTGCTGCCGCGTCTTCTAATCTCCGCTGCAGCCTTGCACTCCCTTGCCGCGCACTCTGCTGCTGCTGCTGCTGCTGCTGCTGCTGCTGCTGCTGCTGCTGGTTCTGCCTGGGGCAGTCTTGAAGCACTTCTCTAATGAGGCCCCTCAGGGTTTCTTCTGAGGCCCTGCTGCTGTCTGCAGCAAAGCAGCCGAGGCCCTCGGGGCCTTCCCCGAGGGGCCCCCCCAGGGGGCCCCCCAGGGGGCCCCCCAGGGGGCCCCCCGGGGGGCCCCCCGGGGGGCCCCCGGGGGGCCCCCGCGCCGCGTAGGGCATTTCGAAGTTCCAAAGTAAAGAGGGCCCCAGGGCCTCAGTTTCTTCTTCAAGGGCCCCCAAGAGTCTTCTGTAAGGAATTTCTTGCTGCAGGCTTTCCACTGCAGCACCAATTTCCGAAACAGTGCCCCCCACGCACTCCACCTGCTGCTGCTGCTGCTGCTGCTGCTGCTGCTGCTGCTGCTGCTGCTGCGGGGGGGCCCCCTTCCCGCTCCCCACGGCCGTGGGGCCCCCCTGGAAGAGGGGCCCCCGCGGCTGCTGGGGGCCCCCTGCAGGGCCCGGGGCCTCGGGGGCTTCGTGGGGGCCCCCGGGGGAGCCTGCCGGGGGCCCCCCCGGGGGCCCCCCGGGGGCCCCGGCCGGGGGGCCCCCCTGGGGGCCCCCCTGGGGGGCCCCCGGGGGGCCCCCCCGGGCCCCGGAGGGCAGGGGGGCCCCCCCAACCCGCAGGCAAGAAGGGGGCGGCTGCCACCCCTCTCTGAGCCAGGGCTGCAGCGCCACAGTGAGTTTGCCCGGGGGGGGGGCCCCCTCGCTGGGGTGG